TTTGAGAAATGTAGGATGTAGTCTGAAGCTTTAAATAATTAAGTAGTTTCACAGTGAACTATAAAAAGACCAGCAGAGGCGGGACCAGAAGAAGGGAAAAAAAAAGAGGGGCTGTGTGCTAAAATGTGGCTTGCATAGTATGAAAAGTGAACTCCCGAAGCAACCTGTAGCCCCTGCGTGAACACTGATTGCGATTTCAAATGTAATAGAGGCTGTGAATTCAATTGCAGCAAAGTCTTGTCACACTCTAAGTTGCAATACACAAAAGATATTTCTGCCCTGACCCCCTGCAAAAACTCTTTGAGTTTTGTCTTTCTGATGCATGGTCCCTAGGACTGAACACAGCTTTAAAAGGCCCTTGTTCTCTGCCCCTCCAACTCACTCCTTGCTTTGTCCACTCCTGACATTTCTAAGGTCCACCCCTTACGGATACTGCGTGGAAATGTTCATTTTTCTCAACTTGATGCCTTCCAGATATGTTGGCCTAAAACCCTCAGGGGATGGCGGGCTATCACATCCCAAGCCAGGGAGATCCTGCTTGAGATTATCAAATCTGGAAAAAGAATGATAACCTCCCCCTCCCCAAATTTCAGAGACAAGCACTGCTCTGCCAGCAATAAAACAAAGAAGAGATTTCTTCAAGGAGTCCTTATATCACCAGAAAGGCTGACAGATATGCCCTGCTTCCATCTTTACAGTGCAATTCTATGCCTCTCTACTCTTAGGCAAGCCCCTCTGTTTAGTGCTGCTTACTCTCAGGCAAGATAGTGCCTTCTAGTAGTATTCATGGACTGTTAGCTTTTAATTCTGCAGGACTTCTTGTTTTTCAGTGCTAAACAGAAACACACACGGGGGGGGGAGACTAAGAAAATGTCAAAGCTGGCCTAGAAAACGGAAGAGGTACTTTCTGTGCCGTTTTCCTGCAAAGCGAAAGCATATGCAAAAGAGCTGTCCGAAGAAGCAGATCGCAACCCAGGACGGTTCATAATGAACTTTTTAGTCCTAAAGGTACCCCAATACCTTTGGAAAAATGTTTTGTTTTACTGGATGTGCAAAATGCTTCCTCAACAGCGGCGATCGCCCGATTTCCTTAGCTTTGCTCAGTTGATCTTGGGTAAATCCCACGCTGAAGCCTTCTTCTCTGAAAGGGCTCAAACAGACGGATGACACTCTACGTCAGCGTCTCCTTTTGCATGGGATTCTCCCACCCAGGCCCTAACCAGTTAGGATTTCCGCCGGATCGAAGCGCGATGGAAGGCCGGCCCTTTTTCTTTTGAGAAGAGGGAAGGCGGCGGGGGCGCTTTTGTCACCGCGGAGACTCCGCCCCGCCAAACTTCCGCCAAAGAGGAAGAAACTTAGGGATCGGGCGCGCTGCGTGCCCTGGCCCTTCTCGGGAGGAGGAGGAGGAGGAGGAGGAGAGAAACCGTGCTGGGGGATCCCTCCTTGCACGAAAGAAGGTATTCCAAGTGGCGGAGAAAAGCAGGTAAAATGGGGAGCGCGCCTCGTCCTTCCTCGTCTATCTTGCTGCATCTCTTACGAACCGAGATGGGAGGGCGCGCAAAGGATTCCCCGTCGCCTCTTTTTGCTTTCCCGCGACATCGTGGGAGAGAAAGCCTGCCATCGGGCGATCTAGGACGGGTGGTTGCTGCCCCGTAGAGAGGCGGCGATCCCGACGAGAAAATCCTCTTCTTTCTGAACTGTCTACGGTCAACTTCCTCCTTCTGCTTATGGTCGGGACCGAGAAGCAGGAGAGGGAGGCGCCTGCGAAAGCGAAACTGAACGCTTGCGGTGCTCACTTCCAACCCCGACCAGGGGACCAGGAATGGGGCTGAGCCTGTCCCTTCCTCCAGCTGAAAAAGGGGGTGGGGTGGACTTTAATATAAATACTTTTTCGTACTTGGCTGCATGTTAAGGGGAGCGCCTCCAGGGATGGGCAAAGGGTGGTCCTCCAGATGCTGTCGGGCTGCATCTCTCATCAGTCCTAGCCTAGCTGGAGAATCCCAGGATGTTCAGTCCAAAGACCTCTGGAGGGCTGCTTTTTGCCCAGCCCTGGGGCCCACTGCCCACCTGGGGCCTTCTTTGAACTGAACTTCTTGGAAACGTGGGATTGTGCCCCCTCTCTGTTCCGATCCAGAAGCCTTAAAGATTGACTTTCAGTCTTATTTCAGTACTGGCAGTGAGAGAGTTTCCTCCAACTCACCTGCAGCAACAGGCAAGAGGAGAGGGTGGAGGAAGGGTTGGGTTGCAGAATGACTGCTGTGGAGTGCAGAAGGAACAGCTGGGTGCTTCCACGTGAAATGATGCTCTATTTTGTCTAATGGCGGTGCCAGTGCCTTTAAAGCAGGATTGGACAATTGTGGCTCTCCAGATGTTTTTGAAGGACAGTTCCCATTAACACTTTCACCATTGGCTGTGCTGGTTCATGCTGGCTCTGTTCAGGGGTAGCCCAAAACATCTGGAGGGTCACAGTTGGCCATTCCTTGTTCAAAACAAAGATGGGGAATCTCTTCAGATGTTGCTGGGCTGCACTTCCCAGGAGCCCTGCTGTTGGCTGTATGGAATAGCACTGGTAGAAGTGACCAGAGCTGGCATAGTTAATTTCACTCCCAAGGATTTATCCAAACTGCTGGCAGGAAAACTAGAGGAAATGCCTCCCCTAGCCAAGTGCCACTTTGCAAGCTGGAAAAGGCTGAGAAGTGATGAATGAGGCATGGCTTGCTAATGGTCGCAAGACCAGATAGGCGGGATATAAATAGAATAGATAAATAAATAAATAAATATTCTGTTATTTTGAGTTTTTAAAAAATGTGTTGCATTTTTTAATCTTACATGGGAATGGCAACAACAACAACAACAACAACAACAACAAAGAAATAGAAACATATCTATACCACTGAAAAACATATGCACTCAAATTTACATCACACTTCCAAAACTCAGTTGAGAAACATCATCACTAGTCTAACAGGCCAGATTTGAAAACAAAGTGGTTTTAGGACTAAATCCATTGGCCACGTAGTCACATATTTGTGTGTTACCTGAGAGGTGCCCTTCCCATAAATAGATGAAAGATGCTGCCAGAGGCCACTGAGTGGATGGAAGGACCCCTGCTCAGGGGTGCTGGTTTAGCTTTGCATTCAGGAATCTACACACTTCCCTTTTCAGCTCAGGCCAAGACCGTCCCCTCCTATGGATCTTTTAACAAGGAAAGATACTTTGTGTTCCTGCTCTTACTTTGCTTTGTTTTTCAGTCTGATCTTTTCTTGATTTTTCTTTGTCTGTGTATTTGATCTTCTGCATCTACTCACTGAATTATGTATTGCTGAATGATATACACGTTTATAATAAAATCTTGAATATGATTCCCATCTGCCTCATCCAGCAAGGTCAGTGGTAAGTTCTAGTGTGAAATACCTGCACCGTATTCCATATAATCTCTAGCAAGGGCCTGAGAATTGGTGTAGTTTTTGAACTATGTCTGACGATTAGCACAGCTGTGGTTGCTGCTGGGGATCACAGCACAGGCACCCCATCCCAGACCTTTTTCATCGGCTCTACGTTTCTTTCTCACTGCAAAGACAAGGAGCTTTGTAGAATTATAACTCCAGGAGTTTCTAGAAGGCACAGTTTGCCTATTAAATGCCACTTAGAACCTCATGTTATTTTGTTTTGCTTTGATAGCATTTCCAGAAACTGAACCACAAATGCACGTGCTTTGGACACCCCTGGGGTGGGGCTTGTCATGATGACCTGTTCGTCCACATTTGTCACTGCACTACTGCATTTGTTGTTATGTAACATATGGTAAACCTATGATCTCCAGCAGTCTTGCTCATCTCTTGTAAAACACCAGCCTGTGGCTTCCTTGGTGGAGTCAAATCCATCTTGTATTTCCCACACACACACCTTCTTTCAGCTTTTCCCAGCCTTATTGCCTTTTCCAAGCTTTCATTTTCATCTTCTTCAGCATCAGTAGGTGGAGCATAGACTTAGATAAGACATACTAAATAAACACTGAGATGGTATCTAAAAGATATTATTTGGCTGCAGTCTTGTGCACATTTACTGGGAATGAGCCATACTGATCACATTGAATAAATATGCCTAGGATCATACTCTACACGGTGCCTGTGAACTATCTTCAGAGCTTTCATGGAATTGTCATCTACTTTTGTGTTCATCTTTGGCCATTGTAGCAGTGGAAAGGTGGACCATAATTCCCTGTTTTCTACATTGATGTTGCAGGTCCATTTCCTCTTGATGAATTGTTGAACTGCTTCATGAGCTGCAAACATGTCGCTGGTTGACATCCAGATGAAATCAGAGGACCTTTTGCAAAAAGAGCAGCTGGATGCTGGCGGATTTGGCATGGTTTCATTATGTTACCACAAGAACCACGGGCTTGTGGTTTTAAAAACAGTGTACACTGGGCCTCAGCGTACAGAGTAAGTTGGGGAGTTGAAACCTGTTTGCAGGGAGGCAAGGGTGGGCTAGAACTGCTCACCATCAAACATCTGGTTGTATCCAGCTGTACTGACTCTTCCTCAGCTTTCCCATATCTGTGGGAAAACCAGTTTATGGGGAGCAGAGTAGGCTTTGTGGAGCATGCAGTACTGGCTGATGACAAAGAAGAGTGGTGGTGGCATTCAGGAAGAACAGAAGGGGCAACTGCAGTTGCCTGTCAGGCCTAATAATTCAAATGAATCAGTTAAGCTCTGGAATCAGTGACCAACATCTTACACACATAGTGTTTTTCCAGTCAAGCCCAATGGTAATTGCACAGGATCTTTTTCTTCCCCCTCAGGAAGAACAGATGGGACAACTGCAGTTGCCTATCGGTCCTAATGATTCAAATGCATCAGTTAAGCCCTGGAGTCAGTGACCAGCATCTTACACACATAGTGTTTTTCCATTCTTGGCAGTCAAGCCCAATGGTAATTGCACAGGATCTTTTTCTTCCCCCAGCTGTAACACTTCCCTTCTAGAAGAAGGCAAGATTATGCAAAAGTTAAATCATGATCGCGTGGTCAGGCTGCTGGGTGTCATTCTGGAAGATGGCAACTACTCCCTTGTGATGGAATATGTACGCAGAGGAAACCTGATGTCTGTCCTGAAAGCAGTGAGTAAAGGGGATGATGGAAAACTTGTAGAGAAATCAGTGAGTAACTGATAAAATTTAAAGAACTGGAGTGATGGTGGTCTGTGGACATGCTTGTGTTGCAGTAAAAAATGTATGAGTGTATTTTTTTTTTCAAATAACGGACTATGATGCACTTGAAAATGCTAAGACGTGCTAATAGCAAACATTAGAGATACTGCAGCATACAAGCAGATAACATCTGGCCTTCCAGAAGCCCCATAATCCCTAACTATTGACCATGCAAGCAGCACTTTTGAGGAGTTGGTGCCCAAAACATGCAGAGGGTCAAAGGCTCTCCACACCTACACATGACATGTTTCCATGTGGGGAAATGCAATGCTCAGTTCTGTAGCCATTATAATTGTTTAAACTGAGCATCTTTGCATGCATACATGCTCATTTCATCTACTTCCCACATCCAGATTTGGGAGGGTCAAAGGCTCTCCACACCTACACATGACATGTTTGCATGTGGGGAAATCATGCAATGCCCAGTTCTGTAGCCATTATAAATTGTTTAAACTGAGCATCTTTGCATGCATACATGCTCATTTCATCTACTTCCCACATCCAGATTTGGAAGACTGCAATGAGAGGATGCATATGGTGGTGGATCTGTGCAAACAAAGCTATGTAGATGTATGCTTATATATGTTTATATACATTTCAGTTTCTGTCTCAGAAATGAAACGTCGTCCTTCCAAATGAATTGGGTTTCAATTGCCATAATCTTCTATCAGTGGCCCTGATGGCTTGGATTTCTCTGAGTTGGCACCAAATGCACCTGTTAGGCCAGAGGCTCCCCTTTCCTTTTGTTTCTCCAAATGGCCAAGGGTCAGTATTGGGCAATTATATGATGCTGGAATCTTAGCAACTGCCTATGGATGCGCCCATCCCATCACAGAGTTTGGGAAAGTTACTTTTTTTCAAGGACATGTCCCAGGATCTTCCCAACTTTAAACTATCACAACAAACCTTCTTTTTCCCTCTCTGTTAATACTGTTCATAGACAAACAGATTAGAGTCCAAGTTTCAGAGTCCAAGTCTATTTCCAAACATCCCGAACTGCAATGCAATTTTACTCTCAGTGGGGATTCTTACTGGTTCCTAAAACAGCAAGAATGGCTGCAAGAATCGCTATGATTCTCCAGATTGCTCTGACAAACATGATTCCCGAGATTTCATTCAGTGCTGGGCAGAAGTTGGATCTTGATCTATCGGTAGATCTTTGCATGGCCTGTAGTAAGTCGGGAAGGATTATTCTCTTCCAGTTATTTAACCGTCAGTGGCAGTAACAAAATGATCCCCCTTCTCCATTAAACTGTATTTACTGAACTGAAGAAACCTTGAGGGTAACCAGAAGAGAATTTGTGTATTGGAGGATTGTGAGCTTTCTTCATTTCTGACACTAGAACAGAATTCTTTAATTCTGCATATGTACATATCTCTTGCACCTAGCTTTAGTTTGAAAGTCTCAGGGTTCTAGTAAAAGACAAAGTAAATCCTGGAAGATGAAAGTTTTCCTATTGTTTCAACAGTCCAAAATGGGACTGACTAATTCACTAGCTTTTTATTATTGTTAAAAGGCAAAGGTTGGGCAACAATGACCACCACCACCACCCGATTTTCTCGATGTGTGCATGTGTGCCGGCATAGTCCCATACATCTTTTTTTATTGTAGGGGGCGGGAAACATCTGGAGGAACTCTTGTTGCCTACCCAGTTAAAATGGAAGGCCACTTCCACTGACCTGCTAATGCGATTGTGCATTATATTGATTTATTTATAAATATGTTCTGCTGTTTTTACTTTATTACAGACTGCAATTCCCTTGTCTGTGAAAGGACGCTTCATCCTAGAGATCATTGAAGGGATGCTTTATTTAAATGAACAGGGTTTAGTGCACAAAGACCTCAAACCAGAAAATATCCTTGTAGATGAAGATTTTCACATCAAGGTATCTTTACTAGCCCTGTCAAAAGTGAAACCTAAGTCATGTACAAGGTTCCCTCTGATTTTTGGTCCCACTGTCTCCCATGAGCCTCACCTCATGTGTGTGCGGGGACAGGGTATAATCTGAAATGGGACATAAACAAATCAGCTGCCGGCTGCCAGCGCGCAGCCCTGATGGAGCTCTGCATGCGCAGCTTAGAGGGAACATTGGTCATGCATGTTTATTAAATCCCCACTTGTCTGTTTGGTTATACAGTGGGAAAGGGAAGGGACTATTTTTGCTAACTTAAGTTTGCTGGGTAGGAGATCTCTCAGCCTAACCGTCCTCACAGTGTGCAAGAGAGAGGTCCATCTTTGGAGGAAAGTCAGAATGTAAATATAATTGATGTCAGATCTCATCTTGATACAATGCTTCTGGACACTGTTTTTTAAAGAAGGATATTGACACCCTGGAATGTGTTCAGAGGAGCGCAACCAAGACAGTAAATGGTTTGGAAACCAAGCCCTGTTGTGAATGGTGAAGATTGTGGGTTTTGTGTAGCCAGAAGCCAAAACATATATATATAAGATGGTACAAGCTTGTCCTCTGGCTCAAGGACATTGGCACCTAAACTAATATTTTCAATTACAAGAAAGGAAGTCTAAACATTAAAAAGAATTGCCTCAGAGAGCCCTTTTGACTGTGGAACAAACTGCCCCGAAGATGGTAGAAACCTCGTTCACTGGAGGTTTTTTAAACAGGTTAGATGGCCATCTGCCAGGAGTGTTTCAGCTGGGGTTCCCCTGTGCCCCCTTCTGACCCTTCAGTTCTAGGATTCTATGAAATAACTAACAAAAGTGTAACTCCTGGACTGCCTCAGTCATCCCTTTGAGGTCGGCCCATGATTGCATGAGGTATGTCCCCTTTCCTGTTCTCATGGCTCTCCACTCAGCCTTATCACTGTTCCCACCAGAACTGCTCTCTCCAACCTGTTTTGTAGATAGCAGACCTTGGTGTTGCCTGCTTCAAAACCTGGAGGAAGCTGACTAAAGAGGAGACGAGCCGCCAGAGGAAAATCAAGTGCAACTCCAAAAGTAATGCTGGGACCCTTTTCTACATGGCCCCTGAGCACTTGCGGGATATTAACACTACACCGATTGAAAAATCAGATGTCTACAGCTTCGGCATCGTCTTGTGGTCCATTTTTGCTAACAAAGAGCCTTATGAGAGTAAGTGTTCCCAGCCGAGGGTCTCCTCTCGGAATACAGGAAGCTGCCTTCTGTTGAGCTAGATCATTGGTCTGTGTAGCACAATGTTATAAACCGAAACTGGCATCAGTGGTTTTCCAGGATTTGAGGCAGGATTGTTTCCCAGTTTGACCTGACAATCTGTAACATTCCCTGGTGGTCAGTCTAAATATTAACCAGACTTGATCCTGCTTAGCTTCTAAAATCCAGCAAAATGGAATGCATTGAGGGTGGTAATGTGTTTTTTTTTTGCTGTATGTGGTTAAATACCTTTTAACCAAGTTCACTGCTTCTCTTTCCCCACCCCCTCTCTTGCACACACTTTCCTCCCCAGACGCTGTAAATGACATGCATGTGTGCTTCTGTATCATTAATGGAGACAGGCCACATAAAACAGAAATTGAAGAAAATTGCCCAGTTGAGATCATTACTTTAATGGAACAAGCCTGGAAACAAGAACCAAAGCAACGGCCATCTTTTGCAGGTACCTGGAATTAAAGAATCTGTCAGCTTTGCTTTCTCTCACATTTCAGTGTTTTCACTCTCAAGTTTTCACCATCAATAGATAAAAACCATTGTAATTGTTCACAAGGTATTTTACTGACAAGCCAAACAATATTCTCACCCCATCTGTAGTGGCACAACATTCATTAGACACAAATGCTCTTAGTATGGAGAAGATTGTGTTATCTCTGCCTGCCCTGGAACCGTTAAAGGTGAAGCGCCTGTAAGGAAACCCCCCCATAAAGAACAAGCTATATATACAGAATTCCAAGCCACACATTGCAAACTAGCTACTCTAAAGCTTGAATGGATAAACTTCTCCATTTTTCTTCCTCCCCCATTCAGTTTTCTAAAATCTACAGTTCTTTCTGGTTAATTTAAGGATATATTTATAATTCTTTGCAGGTTTCTATAAAAAATAAGACCAAAGAAAATGTGCACACATCACTAGCAGGTACTCAAACATTAACTGCTGGAAACAAGTATTTTCAGAGGACATACAGTAAAAGCAAAGCAGAATGCTTGTGTAAAAAAAATGATATGACCTAAATCTTGCCGCTCAGCTACACCTCTATAAATTCAAGTTCCACAAGTGGTTGCAAAATTTGTGCCATGGCAGAAGTCATATCCAGCAAGCAGTTCTGCAGGCGCAGGTGCACAACTAGTTGCACAGCCATTTGTGCAAACAAGCACACAATGTGGCCTGCCTGGGCATAACTCCCTGCAAGCTTGCACAGATGGCAATGGGCAATGGGATTTCAGCCAGTGGGTTGAGTTTTTGGCTCGATATGAGGCAACTGAGAAGTTTAAAATGTACTAAAAAGGAAATGTAGATTTTTTTAAAAAAAATAAACAACAGACATCAACCATAAAAATCTAGAGAACAGCAATAAAGCTAGGCAAATACTTTCTGAAAGAATAAATGAAGTTTTACCACTCTTCTGAAAGATAGAAATGAAGATGCACTTTATGCACTTCCATAAGGAAAGAGTTCCAAAGGATATTGCCACTGCTGATAAGGCTGTAAAGAATAAGGTTGAAAGAACAATTTGCATTGTCCGAGGGGGGGCATACTGCTCCGCTTCCCAATCTATCATGGATTGCAACACTATAATTCCCATCAAAATGGGGTGGCAGCTACAGCACTCTATGATGCCAGAGTGCCCTTCCATAACTTGGAGCCCTGCTAGCGAGAAAGGAAGGTTAAACAGACCATTGTTTATGCCTGTTGACAACAGCAAATTTTTAACAGTGCAGTAGAGGTGGCAACAGCAATTTCTGGAATGAAAAGGAGAGCTGCACAGGCTGCCATTTTGAAAAAACGTGTGGGAAGACAATTTGTTACCCAATAGTAATAATCATGTGCTGTCAAGTAAGTTCTGACTTACGGCAACTCTTTTCAGGGATTTCTAGATAAAAAGCACCCTGAAGTCATTCAGCATCCCCTTCTTCTGGGGGTACCCTGGGACTGTGCCTCTTGCCCAAGGCTATGCTGGCTCACTCTGTCAAACTCCCCACTGAGGGCTCTACAGCTAGATGCTTAACTCACTGAACTATACAGCCAGCACGTGTTGTCCACTCTGCTCTAAAAGTTGTTGCAGAGAGCAAGTTCTTGTAAAATTAATCTCGTACTACATTTTAAACAAAAAGGTGCATTTTCAGAACCTTCAAAATAGAGTGTATAAACAAGGTGCATTTTCAGAACCTGCAATATGTGTATTTTCCGTGTACAAGACATACCCATGTGTAAGACACCTCCCACTTTTCTAACCCAAAATTAAGAAATCTTAACTTAGCTTTGAATATTGAGCCTCTGGGCTCAGAATGCTTGGACATTATGAGTCCCTGTTGAATCTGAGCACTGCCTACAGGCTCCACCTCCAACGAGATGTGTTCTAATTGATTTGTTCAGCATTAGCTGACATCAGTTACATAAGGCTCATGACTGAAGGCAGTCTGTTTGCAGAGACAAGGCATGGGCCATTTTGTTCTTTCCTCATCTTACTTACGTGTATAAGACGAGCCTCAATTTTTTAGTCTAAAGATTTTAGACAAAAGTATAGTCTTATACACGGAAAAATATGGTAAGTTTCTTAATCACTGCAATACACACAAATCAACGTTTGGGGTATGCAGCCTATATCCTCATCCACACCTCTTCTTAAATAAAGTTTGTATAACCTGTGATCATAACATCCAAAGGATCCCAACTAAACACTATCAACATTTCTGCTAGAAAGGCAAAAGAATAGAAATATATGTAACAAAATGTACCAAGTAATTATGTTTTTTCAAATCCACTAACTTTTCTCTCCAGTGTTCATAGACTAATTTATTTATTTATTTATTTTATTTGCCAGACGTATTTTTAACATGTGCACCTACCATGTTCATCACAGTTACAGCAAGATATTTTGAGCAACACAATCTGAAATTATAAATTACACATAACTACATGTGCACATTTGACAGTGATAATATTATATAGGCTCAGAGGTGACTATTATTACATTTATTACTGACAGTACCAAAGTAGCTATAGATTTCAGTTTTGCCCAGCTCTAAAAGGGAATGCCCTACAAACTAAACATGATGGTTTGTATTTTTGTGGCTTTTAAATCTGTTTTAGTAGTGCTTTTATCTAAAAATTTTAATATAATGTTTCTTTCTAAAAATTTGAATAATTTACTGTTTTTAGCTTTTATTATTGTGGTTCAAGTTTGTAAACCACCAGGTCCTTTTTAAGGAGAAATATGGGCTAAATATTTTAAATAAACAAACAACAACTAAATAAATAAAGTAAGGAGACAGGAGTGTCTTATTCCTGTTTTTTAAGCTTGTGTCAGTTCATCATTTGATAGGGTGAACATATCCCAAGCATGCCTGCTTATTGTATTACTAATTAACTAATTCTTCTGCCACAGAAATCAATTTGACATACAAGCCATTCTACCAAGAGAAGCTTGAAAAATACGTTGAAGATGATGTGAGAAAGATAAAAGTAAGTTATCAAACATCTGAAGTTCAAAGAACTAAAATATGGCTAAAGAAATGCAGAGTGATGACATCAAAGCCGTGGGAAGTAAGCTAGTCATATGACCTCATCTTATTTCTTGCTTTTTAGGAAGTGTATCCTGCACCATCTGAACTTGTAAAAAGGATGGAATCTCTCCAAGTAGATGCTGTAGCAGAACCACCAAGTAGTGGCCGAACAGGTATTTATTTATAGAGTCCATAGTATTGAACCCTAGTGTATTTTTGTATTAGAGGGGAATAGAGGAGGAATACCTTTGGTTCACCAGACATTTTTACTAGGAAGATTCTCAGCCAGTAACCCATTGGCTTTGCTGGGTGGGATTTAGGCTTTTAACTGTACACCTGTACGGTCCATCAGGAAATACCTGCCAACAAATAAAATGTTTCAGTGAACATAGGATGCTGGTTTTTATTATGGGGTCAGACCTTGGGTCCATCTTGCCCGGTATTGTCAACTCTAGCTGGCAGGGGCTTTCCAATATTTTAGGCATAATTTTCTGGCTTTAGTCAGAGATATGAACATAAGAAGAGCCCTGCTAGGTCAGGCCAAGGGCCCATCTAGTCCAGCTTCCTGTGTCTCACAGGGGCCCCACCAGATGATGCCTCTGGGAGCACACGAGACTAGAGACCTGTCTTCTGATACCCCTCCCCTGCAGCTGGCATTTTCAGGTGCCTTCCTTCTAAGCCTGGAGATTACACATCCCCATCATGGCTTGTAACCTGCGATGGACTTTTCCTCCAGGAATCTGTGTAATCCCCCTTTAAGGGCATCTAGGGCAGATGCCATAACCACATCCTGTGGCAAGGATTTCCACAGACTAACAACACACCGGGTAAAGAAATATTTTCTTTGGTCTGTTCTCACTCTCCCAACACTCAATTTGAGTGGATGTCCCCTGGTTCTCGTGTTGCATTACAGGGAAAAGAGCTTCCCTCTATCCACTTTATCCATCCCCTGCATCATTTTATACATCTCAATCATGTCCCCCCTTGGGCGTCTTTTCTCTAAACTAAAGAGCCCCAAATGCTGTAGCCTTTCCTCATGAGGGAGGCACCCCAGCCCAGTCATCATTTTAGTCACTCTTTTGCACCCTTTCCAGTTCCACTATGTATTTTGAGGTGTGGCAACCAGAACAGAATGCCAATACTCTAGGTGCAGCCTGACCAGCATTTCGTACAATGGTGTTATAGTGTTGGCTGTTTTATTTTCAATCCCCGTTTTAATGATACTTAGCATGCAATTGACCATCTTCACTGCCGCCGCACACTGGGTTGACACTTTCATCAGGCTGCCCACCAGCACACCAAGATCTCTTTCCAGATCTGTCACGGACAGCTCAGAACCCATCAGCTGATAAATGAAGTTTTGATTTTTTCCCCAATGTGCATTACTTTATATTTTCTTATACTGAAACACATTTGCCATTCTCCCAGTTTGGAGAGATCCTTCTGGAGCTCTTCACCACCCAGAAAATTTTTGTGTCATCTGCAAACTTGGCCACCTCACTGCTTATCCCTGTCTCCAGGTCATTTATGAACAGGTTGAAAAACACTGGTCCCAGGACAGATCCCTGGGCCACACCGCTTTTCACCTCTCTCCATTGTGAAAATTGCCCATTGACACCTACTCTCTGTTTCCTGGTTCTCAACCAATTCTCAGTCCGTAAGAGGACCTGCCCTCTTATCCCCTGACTGTGGAGTTTTCTCAGAAGCCTTTGGTGAGGGACTGCATCAAATGCTTTCTGGAAATCCAGATAAACAATATCCACTGGTTTGCCCACGTCCACATGCCTGTTGACCTTTTCAAAGAATTCTAAAAGGTTTACGAGGCAAGACTTACCCTTACAGAAGCCATGCTGATTTTCCCTCAGCAAGGCTGGTTCTTCTCTGTGTTTTAAGATTTTATCTTGGATGGGGCTTTCCACCATCTGTTTCTTTTGCCAGAGTTTGTGTCCCTTTTTATTTTCCTCATTTCGGAAAGGTTTCCATTTATGGAAGGACTCCTCCTTGCCCTTTAAAGCCTCTCTAACTCCACTGGTTAACCATACTGGCACCCTCTTGGACTTAGTTCAGCCCTTATTTCTTTGAGGTACAGTGGTGTCCTGCATAGTGACGATAATCCGTTCCGGATAAATCGTCGCTATCCGGAAACGTCGCTATATGGGGCAAAAAACCCCACAGGCACACATTGAAACCCCTTCAATGCGTTCCTATGGGGGATAAACTCACCGCTAAGCGGAAATCCTCCATAGGGTTGCCATTTTCACTGCCTCGGTAAGCGAGGAATCGGTGCGAAAACGCTGCGGGTGGCCAGTTTGTTGATGCGGCGGCCATTTTGGAACCGCCGATTAGCTGTTTTAAAACATCACAGTGCGAAGATCGGTAAGCGAAACGCTTACCTATCATTGCAATGCAATGTTTTCTCTATTAAAACATCGCTATGCGGATTCGTCGTTAAATGGGGCACTCATTATGCGAGGCACCACTGTATACACTTCCCCTGGGCCTCTACTACCATTGTTTTAAACAGGTTCCCGATTCCTGCTGTTTGCTGGTGATCCATAATCCAAATACTAACCAGCCTGACCCCACTTACCTTACAAAATCAAATGAAGTCAAGTATATTTGGGATGATATGGTGGTTTGAAGAACTTCTGTGGAGCCATCACCCAAAAACACTAATCTGTTTTGCAGATCTTCCCGGTTCCCTACACAGCTCTCAGGAAACCAGCGCGGTGGATGAACGCTTCTTTGAGGCTTGCCCACAGAACGAACCTGTAGAGAGCTGTGAACATGCCTTGGAGCCTTCAACAACCGTAGAGAGGAAACTGCAGGAGGAACTGAACTATCACGTGTTTGGCAGCCGGATGGACAGAGCAGAAAGCCACCGTGTGCCATACAGTGCTGCGGTGCAGGATACAGAGCGGAAGCGGAGGGTGTTTACCAAGGTGCCTGACCTTCCACCTTCTGAGAAGTTGTACATCAGACCCAGAAACTCTGGATCAGTTGTCAATCCTAGCAGTGCCAGTGCAGGCCCTTATGGTTATCCATGGAAACCTACACATGCTGCAGCAACTCCAGAAACAGCACATTTATCATTGGATCCAAATGGATTTTATGGGGCAGGGCCTGCAAATCTTAAAACACAAAGTGCAGAAGATCTTTATAGCTCACATTCAGCCACTCCCTTCAACAGTAAGCAACCTGTGCCAGAATCTGGTGTGAATCATCACCCTGAGTCACCCAGTCCTTATCTCAACCCTTACCTCAAGAGCCTAAGTGTTGGACCTGGTAAGTGAGTTGCATGGGGTTCTCCACAAACCCTCTCCTCACAGTTTGGGGGTGGGGGGAGAATACAATCAGCTACTACATCAGGGTAGAGCATGATTTGGACTTTGGGTTCTTGCTACAAAAAATCATACACATAGAATTAAATAATTCTGAACACAGGAATATGTACAGTGGTGCCTCACAAGATGAATTTAATTTGTACAGCAGTTAATGTTGTCTTGCGAAAAATTCATCTTGCGAAATGTGGTTTCCTATAGGAATACATTGAAATCTAATTAATGCGTTCCCATGGGCAAAAAAAGTCAGAACAAAGTCAAATTTGGTTTACAAAGGGTTTATTAAGTGCTCTTTAGAGCCATACATATTATGCAGATGATTTCAGAAAATTCAATCAAAAAACTTTAACTTTTTAAACATCATAGAAAAACATTTAAAAATCAGCAAACATGAGGCAGGAACAAAAAACGGAAAACATTTGTCTTGCAAAGCATGGCCATAGGAACATTTGTCTTGTGAGTCATCAACCCCATTGCCAAAACCATTCATCTTGCGAGTTTTTTGTCCTGCGAAGCACCACTGTACTCAGTACTAGGAATATAAATAATACTTGCTATTAATTTTTAGGCTATCTCAATCGGACTAGGAAACCACAGCAAATAATGTTTATCTCCCATGAGATTTCCTTGCCTGCCTCTGAGAATGAGACAAAGGCCTATTCTCCTCACCACAGGTCTCTGTAATTTGCACAAAATGGGCAAAATCCTCTTGCTTAGCTACACAGGCGTAACCCAGTGTTATGGCTTCAGTAGCTACGAAAGTGCTATCCATGAAGCATTTCTGCCAGCACATTGTGCAGCAGTGGGAATCATACGACTGACTGCACAACGAAATTGTGTGATTCGCTATTGCTGGGCATAATGCCAGTCACATTTATGCCAGTGTAACTTTCTACAGACCCAAAGTCTACAGCAAGCACAGCTATCCTGTGCTTGCTCTATCAGATTGCTGTATTTACATTGCAATCCTTCTGATGCTTCTAATCCTTAAGCAAAGCATCAGTCATCCTGGCTTTGGGCAGGTCACAAAATAGCGTGAACTGTGCCGTTTGATGCAAAAAAAAACAAAAAAACCCTGTGGCAATTTTTGCACAAAACATGATCCTTGTAAATGCAACAATGTTATTGAAAGTTCCAGGGAATATCTCGCCACCCACCCTGCCCAAGAGGAGAATGTTTCCATTCTTTGCCCTTGCATGCAAGATGAGATAGGTGAGGAACTACATGCCTGGCTGGTGCTAGAACTGAGTGGATCTCACAGCCCTTTCATACAACTACCCACGAGTAGGTTTCTTTGTTTCAGCAGTATAATTTGGGGGAAGGGAGAGATGATTGTGTTGCTGATGCCATTAAATGGCTGGCAATCAAAAATCTTTGCTTGACTGTAGCAAATCATGGTCCAGAAATCTATTAGAACATGAGTGGGCAACAGCATTCCTCCAGTTGTCTTTGGCCTCCCGCTCGCTTCAGCCCAAGCCAGCATTTCCAGTGGTGAGAGGTTATGGGAGCTGAAATTTGAAACATCTGGTAGGCCACAGTTGTCCATGCATGTACTACATAATGGTTCCCAACCTTGAGTCCTCAGATGTTCTTGTAGTAAATCTCCCAGAAGCCTTCACCAGTAACTGTTCTGGCCAGGATTTCTGGGAGTTCTAGTCCAAGAATATCTGGGAACCCAAAGTTGGGAAACATTGCTATACTAGAAGATCTTGATCTAGTCTCTGCCTACCTGTGAGCTGCCTTGCAAATATGAATCAGCTGTTAGCTCTTTCACAATTATGATTCAAAATTTGGTGCACAATCCACTGGAAGCATAGTATAGCAAGCTGATTTCTTGGGACGACCCCTGGGAGTAACAGTCGTACTACTATCCTAATAACAGTACAGGAGAATATGAAGCTCATTAGATCTAGTTCATCTAAAATACCCATCACCTCAAGCCAATATAAGCAGTGTTGAGAGATGATGGGAACTACAGTGCAACATTAGCGGTAGAGCCATATATTTTCCTTCTTAATCTTAAATACTGTACTGTGGCTAGTATCCTCCTGGTGAGTGCCACTTGCACAGTGGTCTGTTCCACAAGTGCTCTGACTTTTTCTAAGGTATGTAAGGAGGTATGCACTGCCTCCTTGCACAAGAATAAAACCCCACTCATTTCAGTCTCCAGTTTGTGCAACAGCACATTGGAAAATGTGCGGAATGCTACACCAGTAGGGCATTATCTATTGCCCTGTGGCAGCCTGCAAATGCACAACAGGGAGCTTAGATTGTTTCCCTAGAACACCTTCTTCCTCACTAGCCTGCTAGATGGACCAGAGTGCCAAGACCGTCACTCAGATCATCCCATCTTTGATTTGGTGAATTGCCTTAAATGTTTGCGCAGTCATTACGTTTGAGGTTTCCTGAGCTGTGCCTGTGGCTTTGTCTAACCGTGATTTACAATTTACATACTTTTTAAAGGTGTCGCGGAATCAACCTCTTTTAGGAAGACGAACTTTGCCCGCAGTCCATCATACGGACATAGCACAGGTAAAATAAAATAACTAAAATGGGCAAGATGAACCTCCTCCTGACGGGTGGGTGGTTCCAGGGGTTGTAGTCTAACAAAGTGATGGTTCTGAGATCCAAAAATAGTCCTATGTGAAGCCCCAAAAAGGCTCACAGTGAAGACTTGAGCATACACAGGGGGCAAAGAATGCTGACTACTGTTTTAATCTGAGACCTAATCTACTCAGAGCCTCTAGTAATCAGAACTGATGATAGCTGAGAAGATTGCAAGCCAGTTGTTGGATATCTTTGTTAGTGATGATTAATGGATGAAGAAGTAAAGCAAAGGAAAGTTATCTCTAACACCATCATTATTGCAGGGGCATGGTTCTCAAACTTGGGTCCCCAGATGTTCTTGGACAAAAATTCCCAGAAGCTTTCACCACTAGCTGTATTGGTCAGGATTTCTGGGAGTTGTAGTCCAGTAATACTTCTGTGTTATCCAAGGTGGGGAACCACTGTCCTAGAGCTATGGTTTTCTCAGATGCCTGGGCATACTCAGTCCTAAAAAGAAAGCCCAAAATAAGTATTCTTACAAGATGTTATATGCTGCTCTCTACCCAGAGTAGGTAAACAAACCAGGCAGGAGTTTCTGCACCTAACAAAGGTGGGGAGGTGAGGAACAATTCACTGAAATTGCCATATCCTTGCAGAGATGAGAAATTGTGTGCAACCGACCTGAGAAGTGATCACAGCCACCCCTGGTTGACTTTTGTCACCTATGCCAAACGAGAACATCACCTTTTCCTTTTCATAAGAGGCTCTGATATGGTATCCATGAAGACTTCATATGTTTGCTTTCCTTCATACTGATTTCTGCTGTACTGTAATCACCAGAGAAACTGGGGAAGGAGAGTGGAATGCAGTATCTTCAGAAAGGACAAGCATAATCTACACTATGATACTGCACATCCCATGTGTTGTTTCCATTCAGAAAGTTGCAGTTTCTCTTACGCAGAATTTGGATGTGTGAAGGGGCCCCATGTACAAGCAGCTCTGATTATGTTGCTTAGTGGAATCTTAGTGGGCTCTTCATTCAACTTCTTCCACATTGCTACTCTGCAAGGGGAGAGCTTGGTTTTCCCATTTTGTATTGCCAGTCATCTTTATCTTTTAAGATTCTCAGTCATCCAGGTGAGGTTATCTGGACATTGAGTCATGGCAACTGGACTTGTTTCTTATTAGGTTGAAACATTTCACTACTCATCCATGTAGCTTCTTAAGTCTGAGAAGAATTGGTAGGAGACCTCCTACCATTTCCCCCTGGCCGGAATAGGCTAGTTAGATGGACAAAGGACCTGGAGTGAGGGATAATCCCACTTCTGCATCCCTTCTCCACCCATTGCCCCATGCACTTCAAACCCACAAACACACTAAGGCAGAGACTTGTCCACCCAAAAGACCAGACACCCAAACATAACAGGAGCAATATAGTATATGCAGTCCAATGCAAAGAGGAGTGTTCGGAGATCTACACTGGAGAAACCAAATAGCCACTAAACAGGGAAATGGCCCAGCAGAGGAGGGGCAAGCGCTCAAGACCACAATCAGCAGTGTTCCTTCATTTGAAGGACAAAGGACACTGATTTGATGACCAAAATGGACTCATTTTGGACCCAGAAGATAGGTGGTTTGAGAGAGGGCATGAGGGAGGCCATACATGTGCATACAAAAAATTCCTCAATCAACAGGGGTGGAGACCTTAGATGCAATCTGTCTCCTATTTATTATGCTGCTTTTTCATCAAAGATCAGGACCGCATCCACCATAAAGACCACTATTAACGACTGTTAACAACCCATAACAATTGGTGAAGAAGGACTGCAGAAGTGGGATTCTCACTCATCCCCCCCCCCTTTGTCCATCTAACCTATTCAGACCAGGGGTGGGTGAAATCAATGAAGGATACAGGGGTTGAGTAGCAAAATGTTTCAACCTACAGTATGCCTCGCTTGACGACGTTAATTTGTTCCAGCGAAATCGCTGTAGAGCGAAAACGTCAAATGAAATTTAAAAACCCTTTGAAATGCATTGAAAACCCCTCAATGTGTTCCAATGGGCTGAAAACTCACCGTCCAGCAAAGAACATCCATAGGGGCAGCCATTTTCAGGCGCCTGTAAAGTGAAAAATGGCTCCTAAAAACAGCGGGAAGCCATTTCTTCTGCCAGCAGCCATTTTGAAACCTGACGATCAGCTGCTTGCTGATCGTCGTACAGTGAAAATCGGTACCATGCGAAAATCGGTACCATGAGAACAGCTTGTCACTGTGATGAGGTGCTTCCTCCCTGAAATTTTGGGATGAGATGTCCCCTGTCTCAGTCCATGAGCCACTCCGGCTATACTTAAGAGATACAAATGTTTGTGTGAACCTGCCCTTGACACATCAATTCTAGTAGTACAAATAGCTCCTTTCTCAGCTGATATTAAAATACTTACTAATGCAATATATGAATAATACACCTCCTATGATACTAATATTTATATTTTAAATGTAAAACAATTTAATTAATATTTTAATTTGCATTGTTCTGACTCATTTTGATAGTACAATTTTATACTCATACTTTTAACAAATGTCTTTTATACAGGAGAACCTGCACTATATACCATAATTAATAGCTGTGGAATTCAAATAGGCTCCTACAACCACTTGAAAATTAAAGATCAACCAGATATTGCTCCTGCAGATACTCAGAATAATTCTTCAGACTACCAAAAGCTATTCAGTAAGTAGATAATAGAATTTTTATTTGTTTCAGGAAGATATGTATTAATACTTTTTTTTTTGCATGTTCAGGACCATAGAGATTTAGGGCTGAATATAACAGAACATAATATTGTATTGTCTGTCAAGATACAATGATTCATGCAAGAAAGAACAAGAAGGAGCAAAGCCAGATTTCCAGCTGAAGTGCTGGGTGCAAAAGTTCCTACTAGCACTTTGGCTGACAAGCTGTTAACACAGGAAAACAGGAAGCTGCCTTAGATTAAGTCAGATAACTAGTACATCTTGCCAACTAGCAGCTGCTCACCAAAGCTTTAGGTAGGCACTCTTTCCTGATCCTATGTGGAGAGATGCCTTCTCTTCCCTGATCTTGCTGAGCTGTCTAAATCCAACCAGATTGGTGTATTCTGGCTGGCAGAGTGGTTTGTGTGATAACAGAAATCTGTGGTGTTATCTAGCCTATGGAGAAATGCAGGGCAAATCTAGCCCCCATTGCACCACAGCATGATCGCCCATATTTAACATGACAGTCTGTACAGACAATGTTGCACTCAGACATAAAGGTGAAGTAGCCCCCATTGCACCACAGCATGATTGCCCATATGACAGTCTGTACGGACAATGTTGCACTCAGACATAAAGGTGAATATGTACAGCTACATCCTGTAATGGCAGGAGCACAGCAACATGGCAGAAGCAGCTTGCTGACACAAAGGGGTTGGTCTCAATTTCCTTCTTGTCTCCAGGAATAGAGGAAGCCTCTTATGTTAATAAACTCCTCCTGGTCCTCTTTTCCTCCACCACAGACAGCACTGCTCTGGTTTCTGAGATGCACCTGAATGTTGCCAGAGAAAACTTGGGGAAGGACTGGAAGCACTTTGCCCGTAAACTGGGTTTCCATGATGCAGAGTTGGATGAAATTGACCATGACTATGAACGGTATGGACTCAAAGAAAAAGTTTACCAAATGATTCAGAAGTGGCTGATGAGGGAAGGCAGCAAAGGGGCTACTGTGGGTAAGTTGGCCCTAGCCTTCCATGCTTGCCATAAGACAGATCTTCTTAACACCCTTGTGAAAATAAGCCAGGAGTCTGAAATGAGTAACAACTGAGAAATAAAACAGCAGAATTCTGTGTGTTTGGAAGAACATTTTCTACTGGGAACAAATGAACATTTTGCTTTACCGTATGTTGACAGTCACGATGAATGTTTGTATGCTACTGCCAGACCGTTCTCTCAATGCAACCAGGTATGGAATCAATTTTTATCTTTGTTTTGGCTAAGGCAATTAAAGTTTGTATTGCGACCATACTGCATGCATGCATGCATGTGTGTACAAAAATACATGTATGTATATGGGAACATGTCAGATGTATTAATTTTGTATAATTTTAATAAAAATACATAAAAGGAAACAAGACTTTTCCTTAGGTTTATTGTAAGGAATAACTCATTTATCAAAAACAAAAAATGACTAATGAATGAGCTGTTTTTCTTTCAGATACATACAAAAAAAGAATTGCCACATTAGAAGAAGAATGCAAAAAGACCAAATAGGAAAAAAATCCTGTTTGTTGGGGTTACTATTCTTAGAAATGTCGATGGAAAGCTCACTGAGGGAGGGGGAAGCATGTGGCAAAAGGGGATGGGTGTCATTTCTGGAAACCCTGGACACATCCAGACAGAAGTTGATATATGACCAAGACATGCCTAGAGAAAGCCCAGAAAGATGCAAAAAGCTTACCGTGATGCAAAAGCAAGACACCGTGCTTTCAAAAAGCTCCAAACAATGTGGAAAGGTCTGTTTGTTATCCTAGGTAGGTAGATGGATTGGGTTGTTAGAGGAGTTTTTAAATTTTAATTTAACTATTGTCATCAGCAGAGGAATATCTCATCTTTAATTGTTATCACTATGTTTGCATATTGTTCATGTTATATACATTTAACTTTCTGTTGTCATTGTTTTGTAATTTGATATCCTGGCTGTTGTACACTGCCCAGAGAGTGCTTGTTCACTTATGGGGAAGGTATAAAATGTGTGTAACACATACAAGTTTAGTCATAATGGATTGCATTATCTTGAATGGATTTTGATGTGTGTTAGAACCATGACAGCTTTATATGTATGACAGTGAAACAGCAATGCATCTACCTAGCATGATAAATATAAAACTACCAGTGGATCTCATTGTGAAGGAGGACTAAAAGAGGAAGCATGATCAATATAAAACTACCAGGGTATCTCATTGTGAAGGAGGACTAAAAGAGGAGAGTGCGTCGTCTCCCCCAGGAAAGGAAAGCATGTTAACAGAATTAAAGGGAGGGATGATTGAGGTGAAAGGAAATGTGATGAAGGAAGAAAGGGTTAAAATTGAGATCTGCTTGGTGGAGGAAGGGATAGAAAAAGGGGAGGAGTTAAAGAATATAAAACTACCAGGGTATCTCATTGTGAAGGAGGACTAAAAGAGGAGAGTGCGTCGTCTCCCCCAGGAAAGGAAAGCATGTTAACAGAATTAAAGGGAGGGATGATTGAGGTGAAAGGAAATGTGATGAAGGAAGAAAGGGTTAAAATTGAGATCTGCTTGGTGGAGGAAGGGATAGAAAAAGGGGAGGAGTTAAAGTTTGATGTGTGGGAAGAGGGGATAAAAGAAGGGACAGGAGAAAGAGTGCAGTGTACCTAGATTCCCGAGTAAAGAGGAGAGAGCGAACATGTAACCTCCTAGAAGATTCCCTAATTTAAGCATAACGTCCTAGAGGACTTCCCTAATTTAAAAGTGGGAGGTTTACTGCTGGATCCGAAACTGAAGCAAGACGAGGTGACCATCATGGAGACAATGGAATGGATGGTCGTGGCGCGGTATTCTCGGGAGGGGGTGGCTGCTTGAAGAAGGTGGTGCGTCCGATTCCACTTTCAACAAACCCCCACCCGAGGGGGACTGGGCTCACCACCCGTGTTGTGCCACAATCTGCGCAGCCAGGAGCGTGCCCATGAGGAAGCCGACAGACAAGGAACGGTTTGGACCGGTTCCCCAGTATTAAAGGACAGCAATAACCAGAATATGTTCGCAGAACCTAATGGACAGTTACCAGAATTAAGTTACTTTGATCCCACTGAAGTTGTTATTGATTCCTTAGAAACCAAAATTAATAAATCCGTTAATATTTTGAATGAACTGGCTGGTTACTTTCCCCACGCAAATCCAGGAACTGTTAAACACATATAAAGAACCCAATCACACTCATTTATCTAGAATAGTGCTGCATCAATAGGAAAATATATTTTAAAAAATTTAGAACAATAGAATAGATAAAATAAAGGAGGGGGTTCTTCATAATCCAGTTCAACGTTCAACCCACAAATATGTCACAGGGTTGTCACTTCAGATAACACTGCCAACAGCTCTTATCTTGGTGTGGACTAACAATTCACACAGACTACAGAATGGGATAATTAAGAGATCTCAAAATCATGCAAAAAAACTAGCCCTCCTACTGTGTCAAAAAGGAACAGGACAGCTCTAGAAAAGGTGGGATGAATCACTTTTAAGTCAGAACATACATGGACACCATGAACCAAGCAACACCAAAAGTGATCCAAATAGCAAGCTATTGTGCTAATGTGGACGTGCCCTCTCTTGAAAGGAAAGGAACAATGGGGGGAACTCATGCAAGTTCCCTACTGATAACAGACAGGATATGTATGAGATGTGCTATTTTATCCCTACTCACAGAAAATAATGAGTGAATGTTGCTATTGGAGCAGGGTGGGCCTTCCCTGGAGCCAGATGCCAAATAATGATACATCAAAGTGGGTACAAATTTGCTAAACAAAAAAGGCCTTCTGCCCACATGCTCGGCCCTAGAACATATTGTAGGACCACAACTGAAGAGAACACAGAAATCTTGGCCTGTTCCTTCCTTGCCCCCACCAAAAACATTATTTAGGAGAAAATATAGTTTGCTGTTGATACACCGTTTATTTTGTTTTTTATCTATATAAAATATTTTTATCTCATCTTTCTCCTTTAAAAAAGGGCCCAAAGTGACTTATATCATTAAAGCAGTGAAAATTATAAGCTGTTACAGTCTTCTTCAAATGTGTTTGTTTATATCCTGCCAAAATGTTCTAAAGGCAAATGAAACAACATAAAGCAAGTTCTATTTCAATTAAAAACATTTTTTAAAAACCTCTTCAACAAGAAAAAACATATTAAATTAATTATCTAGAGATAAACTAGCAAATCCCACTTTACCTTCTGCTTGCTCCTGGTATAGATCCCAGCAGTTCTCAAGTTACTACAGCTTATTGGGCAATGAAGCCAGTGGGCCTAGTGCTAAAATCAAGGACCAGATGCATACCTGACAGTGTGTGTTGGTGCCGGTACTCACCTTGAAAGTGAGTCACAGGTCCTGGAAGGAACAACAGAATTGCAGTGGAACAATATATAGAAAGGAGGCAGTGAAGGAGAAATCCTATAAGCTTAATAAAACCCCACAAGAATAGCTGGAGGAATTGGACAGCAGAGTCTGTGGAGAAGACCTATTACGGGCCTCCAAATATTGCACAGCTGTATAAGGACAGGCCGACTCTTTAAGCAAAGTAATTTTACAACAGCATCTGGCAGGGATGCTCAGGAGAACAATCCTGGCTCCTGTTAATGGATCTTCTGTCACGGTTTTGGCGACAGTAAAATACGCAGAGTTATTGAAGACACTTTACCAGTTCTTGTGTTGCAAGACGGTTGTATTTACAAGTATTTACAGTTATTTACAGGCAGGCATCTGAACATCATGGCATTATACAATCTGGCAGTATGCATGGCAGCAAGTGATAGTGGAGGAAGAGAAAGAAGCAAAGACACAGTCCACTTATATACATGTACATGGCACATTCAGTCCAATCAGAATACAGATGACTTCATCCTTTTGCACCTGGTCTTCTCCTGGTTTCAAGTCATTGCATCAGCTCCAGAGTGATTCAGCACTCTCACATCTGTGCACAATGGCAGCTCGTTAATGAAACACATATACAGGTTTAGGCCTATAAAATTTCTATATTCTGACATCTCTGCTTTTGTTTCATTTTTCTCTCTTCTGCCCCATCTTCCTCCAGATGTGTCAGAGCTGCAGGGGGTGAGAATGGGGTCAGACAAAGAAATTGCATTTGGACTGCTTGAAGCACAGTCGGGTGCAACCTATTTTCCTGCAATCAGGTGACATACAGGAGATTGCAAACCAACCTGGCCCTTCTCTGTGCCCAGACCTTTTTGATCCAGTATCAGGGCTACTCCTTTTTAGAGCTGGGCTGGAGTAATGCCTATAATGCAGGAAGGGTTGCTTTAAGGGAGATCACTGTCAGCAAAGCAACTCCAACACAATCAGAGCTGATCCTTTTTCGTCATCTGATCACACCTTACTCGCATAGATTAGGGAAACACCAAGGCCTAGACTGGCAGCCCAGAGCAAAGGCCAAGCAGCTAGTGGTTTATCTCCCTTGGCCAAGAATAACTCGTGGTAACTATAGTGCTGTTTTCTGGTGCAGCAGTAGCATTTCACCTTATAGTATCAAGTTCGTTCCACCACATTGGTTTGAAGTAGTCCCTCTTGCTGGGCACTTCTGGGAGTTAATAGTCAACAAAAGCAGCTGTCCCATCTCTACATTCATTAACTGAGCTGAGTGTAAATCAATGGTCCCAAAGTCAAATTTCACATCTGCTTTGAACTTCGCAGGTGGGTTTTAAATATAATTTCCTGACCTTTAATCGTTAACTTGAAAATTAGCCTATTTAAAGCTAAGGCTGCCATCCAATGTATATTTTTGGCTGATTAGCACAGATCCACTGGAAAGGCCCTCTTTTTGAGTACCCATCTTTTTCTGAAGACCTTTGAACCAGGGCAGGCTCATATGGATTCAATCTTTCAAACAGCCTGGACCTAAACCATATAGGGTTTTATAGGGCATAACCAGCACTCTGAATTGGGTCTAGTAAGCTTGTTGCACGCTACCCCTGTCTGTGATACTCCAAAGTATTTCAGCGTGGCTTAATCTTGAGCAGACAGCAGACAATCATAACCCACTGCCTTCACAAAAGACCACCCCTCCTAGAGATTAAATCTCTTATAAAAAATGCTTTCTTGACATGGACCAACACAGCCCTCTGCATTTCTGGACTCTTATTTGAAACCTGTTTCTCCAAAGGAAGTAGAACCGGCCTGATCATGAAACTGAGGGAGGGCGATACCACATATCAACAGTTTAGGGGTTTTCTGGACACAAGAACACATGGCTAGGTATTTATTTTGTTACATTATATTTGTGTTGCACAGAGCTCTAGAATGTTACGGGGGGGGCACAAGTCTCTGAATAATAAACAAACACATGTACATTTCTATTCTGTATTTCTGTCCGAGGTCTGATACTGCCAAGGTCGCTATTCGCAGTTCTGCCTTGGCCAGCAACATTTCTTGGGGGCGGCCCCGGGAAGGACGCCTTAGCCGTCGCCCGCCCCGTCTCCAACGCCGTGCCCATTGGCGCCCCCCCCCTCCCGCCGCCTCCCGGGAACAGATAAAGCCGGCAAGGAGCGACGGGGCACGAAGACGAAGGCGGAGCCACGAGGAGGCCCCAGCACCGGAGGGACATGGCGGGACCTGGAGGCGGAGGGCTGCGGCCGCTGCGGCGCCTCGTCTCGCAGCTCTCCCAGTCCGCGCCGTGGGTCGCGCCCCACAGACCGGCTGCTTTCTACAGGTGAAAATGCCTATTCGGAGGGCAAGAGCGGGGAAGGGCCAGACAGGAAGGAAGGAGGGAAACGGCTGTAGCCCCAACAATTTGCAAAGACAGGGGAAGCGTTGTGTGCTGTCACGCGTACTTGATTACACGGGATTGTTCAGAGACAATGCTCTGAACTGAATTGTTCAGAGACACGAGGGGAGGGGGGTGGCAAACTAAATGCGTGCTTTTAAGGAGGTTGTGCGCGCTGTGATCCTCGGGGTCCGAAGGCAGGACTGAATGTGATCAAGGCACAAAGTCCAGGACGTATTTATTTGTTACAGCGGCAGCACCCGTCAGGGGTGACATAGGTTCTCCTTCAAAAGAAAATGGCACTTTGGACTGATAGGGCATAGTGTCAGAATACAGCTTTTGTTACATGAGCTGAGGTAAATTTCCCCAACTGAACAGCCCCCATTCATGTTGAACTAGCCTGCACATAGGAATTGCATGGCAAGATCAGTCCCGTCTTGTATCCTCTTCAAAGGGGCGGAGGAGAAAGAAGGTAGGTGGGCTGGTCTGCAGGTTCGGGGTCTGGAAAAGACCTTTGTAAGTAATGGGTCCCCAAAGAAGGAGTGGGAAAGCTTCGTCTGCCCATATCTGTGGACAGCGACTACCAGATTCCCTCATTCCTGGGCATCCTGACTGGGGCTCCTGGGAGGTAAAGTCAAAAGTTCTTCACAAAAGCCTAAAGGCAGCAGAAATAGATGATGGAAGTGGGGACAAGAGCAGTAACAAAACCTGAACATTCACATCTTTTCCCTTCACCCTCACCCTGTAAAACCTTTCTGGTAGTTGGCTACGAGAATACAATTCTTGGTGGACCATCAGTGAAATTCTGGGTAGGTGGCAACTGTAGCCGCTTGGTGTGACACATTCATCATAAAAAATAAAATAGAAGTACTGTTCAGCAACAGGTTGTGTTCCTGTGCATGCTTGTTTGAAAGTCCCATTGAAATCAGTGTACAGTAGTTTGTTGCCAGATAGATGTGCAAGAATTGGGTTGCAAAATTGTTCACCTTTCAGGTCTTCGTATCCAAAACACTTTGTTGTTCTCACTAAAGTAGACGGAAATGGCTGCCTTCCAGATTGTTTTTGAAGAATAGTTGTGTATACAGTTTGCAGCGTCGAGGAGCAATGTTGACGAAATAACCAAAATCTTTTTTGTTTCACATAGCAGGAGTTCTCAGACCTAATCAAAGCTTATCAAAATTGCAGTTCAGGCAAATAGTTCAATCACCATCAAACACAAATAGCTTTTAGCACGCAGCACCCAAAGAGCCAGGATTTAAGAGACCTGCGTCTGAATCCCTGCACAACCATTGAAACTCACTGGTTGGTGGCACTGGTTAAAACCACTCCTTCAATGTCTCATGTGCCATGAAAACTCTGTTAAGGTTGCTATAAATTAGATGCAATATGATGGAATATAACATCCATTTATTGCCCTAATTTTGTACTGTTCTTTCCCAAATAAGCCAACACAGACCTACGCAATTATTGTCTCAAAAGTGTTGGAAGAACTACATTTTCCCAGAAGGGATTCTGGGAGTTACAGTGGAAAAAATAACTTTCCAGTGCTGCATCCTCTACACTCTTTAGATCAGCTGATCAAGGACCTTTGATGCTTCGGTTAGCAATTAGCTCACTAACTTGGGTTTTGTCCTGATTCAGAGAAAATAGCACATACCGATTAAAGAATGGCAAGGATGGGAAAGAAGATACTGAGAAAGAAAGCTCAGTAGACTGTGTAGCCTGCCTCTGCCTTGCCCACATATCATGAAACCAAGTTTGTTTAGCTGTGAACAAAGCAACACCGATCACAGAACAAAACAGGGGTCAAGAGATGCTCTGACCATAATTCTCTCTTTCTAACCCTGACTCCCCAGGGGTAAAACAGATTGACAGATTGAGCCCCAGCTCTGTAAAGAAGGTCTTCCTCTGGGAGGCTGGTCTGCACTTTCATACCTACCTTCCCTTTAGAGAAGCCAGGACTGCCCAGAAGATGGGCCCTTCTTTAAATAAGGGCATTGGTTTGGATATTGACAGAATAAACAGAATGGCTCCTTCCTGTCACGAAAGGCTCTTGAACAGAGCAGAGGTGCCCTGTTGGGGAAGGGGATGGGAGGCCTTCTTCGACATTCCTCAGCATCACCTCTCCTGCTCCTCTAAAGAGTTTCTCCATCTTCTGTGGCAGCTTTTCAGGAGGCATGTAAAGTTACAGGGAAAAGAATCTCTGCTCAGTCCCTTTCCTCTTGCTATCCCACAACAGGCTGACTTTAGACCTGAAAAGAATTGTACAGCATATTTAATGCAACATATTGAGCATGGGGCCTGGCTTCTGCTGATGAAGGTCACAGGTCAAGAGGGCAAAACAAAACAAGAAAAGCACAAATGCAGTGCAAAACACTGGAAAGTGCCATAGGGCTTGGAATTAATTTGTTCAAAATCAACTTACCATTTGTAATTTGTTATAAAATTTTAGTGGCGAGTTGTTAAACATTATTTCAGATGTTTTTATTATCAGTGAGATTAACAATTTAATGTTAAATAATTTGTTTTTTGTGGATAGTTGTTGGAGGGCTTTTGGGTAACTGTAGCACGTTTAAATAATGATAATTGCTTTTTTTAAAATTTCAGAGTGACACGTAATTAGCATGTTACTACCATTGAACCTAACAAATTAGTCCTATAATATTGACTAAAATGATTAATGCTAATGAATGTATTTTTGGAATGACAACAGCGTTTTCTGTGACATCTTTTCCAAGCTCCGTATGGCCCCCAGAGCTTTGCCTGGTGTTAATTGCTGTAGCATTTTCTACTGCTATATTTTAAATTCAAATATTTGATTGCCACTTTAGGAGAAAGGTAACATGGGATTCTGGCCAATCACACCATTTCCTTTGTGTCCTCATGCATTTTTGTTGTTGTTTGCAGCTAGCATCTATAATTAATGGCTGCATATTTGATTAAGTGGCTTTGCTGGAATAAAGCTAAAATACTGAATGTTTTTTTGGGGTTTGGGGGGCTGATATTTCTTCTAGCACTGCAATAACCTCAGCTAAAGTTGAAGTGAATGGCGTCCATCTACACTATCAGCAAACAGGAGAAGGAAACCATGTCATCCTGCTGCTTCCTGGCATGTTAGGTTTGGATCTTTTGTTTTATATACAACTTATGATTTGTGTTCTTATGAATTAGAAGGTACACAAGATTAATCTCATGCAGTCCCCAGAAGTGCCTCACAGTTTGGCTACATTTTATAAGTATTTTGTAGAGCAGTGGTTCCCAACCCTTGAGTAACCCCAGTGTTCTTGGATTGCAGTTCCCAAAAGCCTTCTCCACCAGCTGTGCTGGCCAGGGTTTCTGAGTAGTTGCAGTCCAAGAACATCTGGATTACCCAAGATTGGGAACCACTGGTATAGAGATTAAAGAGCACAATCCTGACTAGACAAGACAGGTGATGGCCATTGGGTTGGTGCTAGGCTAACAGAAGCTGTCCTCATTCTAAATGTCTTCTAGCATAGGGATGCTGGAAATTACTTAAGAGTACACTGCATACTGTCTGTGTCCCTGGATGGGAGGAGATTCAAGTCTGGCACAGCAGCTCCTCCTTCACTTCCTTTTGGCAAAAATCTATTGGCAAATTTTAACCAGAACAGCAGATCTGCTGACAGATCTCTCCAATTAGCCAATAGAAGAGAGTTCTGGTGGGCCAGTTTCTGCCAAGAGAATGTGCTATCTATTCTATACTCCCCTTTTGAGTTAAGCTTGCATTGTAATTCTATAGTCTATTTGCTTTAGAAGTAATAATAGATTGTTACATGTTTTATTTATTTACCTAGAGTGAAGATAGACACATAAAAGCAGAAGGCCATTTGACAGAAGCATTGTTTCTCATGGTGCAGACATGGTTTTCTTGCGTCTCCTCTAGTCAAACAGGTCTTAACACTATGCAAAATCCTGTCACACATGTTTACCATAAGTGAAAGGACGAAGATGCACATAGACTGGATGAACAGCCCTTAATTCCAACTCATATCCAACTGTCTAAAAACAAGATGTATCTGCCTCCAGTCTTATCTTTATAAGCTTGCATGCATGTACACCAAATTTACTCTGTCTTTGAAAAGGTTCATATATGTATAAATATCTGTCATAAGCCCATTTGTCTTCCAGAAATTTAGAGATTCAGCACAATGTAAAGAAATAACACAGGCACTAATCCAGGGAGAGGAGTAGGAATTGTATGGCCTCCACACCACATTTGGTCCACCAAAACCCCACTACAATCTCAAGGAGTCTCTTCCTAATTTTTATACCGAAATGAAGAATCACGCACCCTCCCCCAAACCATCTAGATAGTGGGCTTCTTGATAACAGTGGATGGTTTGCAGGGGAAACATTTTGCAGTCCCAAAGTAGCCTATTCTCAAAACTGGTGGTAAACTCTGGGTTTGAAAAAAAAGGGATGGCTTACGGCAAAAGTTTGGGTGAGGGTTAGAAATTGGGTGGGTACAGCCCCCAAATTCTCAGTATTTATTTTATTTATTTATTTGTTATATTTATATCCCGCCCGTCTAGTCATTCAACTACTCTGGGTGGCGTACATCGGACAAAATAAACAATTAAAATAACATCAGTATCCAAGAATAAATAATCATTCAAGATGGAAAAAGACAAAGAAGACAGATGTAATAGTGCCATGAGGGAAGGCCTGCCTGAATAGCCAGGTTTTTAATTGGCTTTTAAAAATGCCCAGCGAAGGGGCCATACAGATCTCTGAAGGTACGTTATTCCATAACCGAGGAATGACTGCTGAGAAGGCCTGGTTTCTTGTTTTTTCCTTCCAGACCTCTCTCGGTGTTAGGCTCCTCAGTCGCACCTCCTGACTAGATTGAGTGATACGGGTAGATTTTGGTGGGAGAAGGTATTCCGTCAGATAGTGAGGTCCTAAACCGTTTAGGGCTTTGTATGTGATCATTAAAACTTTGAAATTGACGTGGAAGCGCACGGGCAGCCAGTGCAATGCGGCCAGAGTGGGAGAGATATGATGGTGTTTCTCACCCCACTAAGAAGTCTGGCCGCCGCATTTTGTACCATTTGAAGCTTCTGCATCAGTCTCAAAGGTAGCCCCACGTAAAGCGCATTACAGTAGTCTAATCTCAAGATTACAAGCACATGCACTACAGTGGTGAGCACCCCAGCATCAAGATAGGGACGCAGCTGGGCAATCCGCCAAAGGTGGAAGTAGGCAGAGCGGACCACTGACGCCACCTGGGTTTCCATGGTGAGTGCTGCGTCCAGATGTATCCCCAAGCAGTGAAAGTCACCCCCCAACTGAGAGGGAGTTTCCCAAACCGCTGGTGGTGGGGCAACCCACCCTCAGTATCTCCATCTTGTTCGGGTTCAGCCTCAATTCATTTTCTTGCATCCATTGCAGAACAGACTCCAAGCAGTGCTGAAGGGACAGAACTGCATCCACTGTAGTTGGAGAGAAGGAGATGTAGAGCTGTGTGTCATCAGCATACTGATGGCACGATGCCCCACATCCCCTGATGACCCCTCCCAGTGGCCTCATGCTGTTAAACAGCATTGGGGAGATGATTGAGCCCTGTGGGACTCCACAATTCCACGGGGCTGAAACCCTCTCCCCAAGCTGTACTCTGTGAGGACGGTTCTCCAAGAAGGATTGGAGCCAAGCAAAAGCCAGGCCACCAATTCCCAACTCGGAGAGCCTCCTCAGGAGGATATCATGGTCGAGAGTATCAAAGGCAGCTGAGATATCGAGGAGGACCAACAGGGACTTGCTCACTTTAAATGATGGCAACATTGTGTCAGGGCAGGCAACATAAACCTTTCACAAGACTAGCGAGTACTTTTGGTGTACAAATGCTGGTTCAATAGGACCTCAATTTATGTGTGGTCAGTATCTGCGGTTTCACTTATCCACGGCCTGAAAATATTAAAAATATTAAAAGAAAAAATATCCAGAAAAATACTATTTTCATATGTATTACCAGAACCAGCCCACTAGAGGGTGCCAGAGACCATGCTATGAATACTTGTTAGTGAAGAATACATAGCATGGTGTGGCACTCTCTTGTGGCCAGTTCTGGTAATGCACGTGGAAATATTTGTTCTTTTTTCTTTCTTTCTTTTTACCATGTTATCTATGTATGTTAAGCGTTTTCTATTATCCACAATTTTCAGTATCTGTGATGGAGTTTGGAACCAATCTCCAGCAGAAATGGGAATCCTACTGTATATAGATTATCATGGAATTGCAAATTTGGAAAGTATCTCAAAAGTCATCATATAACTTCCCACCTGTGAAAGGAATCCATAGCTAAAGTATCCCTTATGGGTGGACAGCCCAACTTGGTCTTAAAATCTTGAGTAAAGCCCACCACCTCCCATGACAGTTAATTCCATTGTCAAACAGCTCTTACTGTCAGGAGGTTCTTCTAAACATGTTGTCAAAATGTCTTTTCTTGTAAACTGAACTCATTAGTTCAGGCCTTAGCTTCAGGGTTGCAGAAAGCAAGCTTGATCCATTTTCCACATGACAGCCTTTCACATATTTGAAGGTGGCTATCTCAATAGCTCTCTCTTTTCTCCATGCTAAGTATACCAACTCTGTTCTTAACCTGGCTGGGTTTCCAGATCTTTTACCATCTTAGTCACTTTCTCTGGATATGTTACAGCTTTTCACTATCCTTCTGAAACTGTGGTGCCCCCAGCTGAATACAGTATTTCACGTGAGGTCTGACCGAAGCATACATAGAAAGGGTACAATTATGTCCCTTGCTCTGGACACTGTACATTTCTTGATGCAGCTTATGTTGCACTACTTTCCCCTCTCACTTTGATTTATTTAATTGGTCTGCATGCTCTTGCCCACCCCTTCACTAAATCTCTTAGATTTAAACACTGGCAGGATCAGGCATTTGTTTGTTTGTTTGTTTAAAAAAATTGGACCATTTCCACTGTCAACAGGCATTCAATCCTAATGCTGTTATTCAAAGCAATCTTTAATCTTAACTAGGGAATGAATTAATAGGGTGTTGCTCAGGCAACAGAGTCTCATACCTATGCATCTGGGGAGTGAGCCCTAGTAAACAGCAATTAAACTCCTAGAATCCTCTTTATGTCTGGTGATTCCATTCCTGTTTAAAGTTTTTTGTATAAACTACATTTAAGGTATGTGTTCGTGACCAACAGTTGCATCTTTGGGAAGCACCTAACCACAAGCACTAAAGTAAAACTTATCCTTAGGAATTAGATGCATATATAAGCCTTTGCAGCTTTAATTACTAGTGATCTGTGGTTTGTTGTTAACTCACAGGCTCTCAATCCTGCTTTCCACTGGCCAAAAAGACCCTATGTATTTTACCTTATGAACTTTTAAAAAATGTGGGATCAACTATTACTTGTTTCTTCATCTCAACTGCCCAAAGGCCAGAAACCATCACAGTTGTCCTAATAGTGCCTAATTTGAACATCTGCCACCTCTTTTTACATATTGCCCCACAATTGTAATTAAGGCAGACTTTGATATCTGTCATTTCAGAGATTTTTTTCCTTCTCTTCTCCCCTGCTTTGCCAACTATAGCTTGATGAAGAGTTCTGGAGAGCTCAGAACCTTGCTGATTGTTTTTTAACATTGCGCGTGATCTAAAAGAGAAAATATCATAATATTATCCCTGAAACAGGTACATAGAAGATTGTTTCAGAGTAAGACCTCCTTCAGAAATGAAGGCATGCCACAAGGATGATTGTCTGATAATACATATATGGCAGAGTGTTTGCTTTTAAAACCCATGACATGCTCTCTTTTCCCTATCAATATAATGATTTTTTTTACATCCCCCCCCCCAAAAGGAAGTGGTGAGACTGATTTTGGACCACAGTTGAAATCTCTGAACAAGCAGCTCTTCACACTTGTTGCCTGGGATCCCCGGGGATATGGAAAGTCTATTCCTCCTGCTCGAGATTTCCCTCTAGATTTTTTTGAAAGAGATGCCAAAGATGCCATTGACTTGATGCAGGTAAAACCATACTACCCAAAAGGGTTGGTGCTTTGAAACTGTTCTGAGAAATAGTTAGCTTTTATTCCTCCTCGGTTTTTTTAGGCATTAGCAATGGGAATAGACAAGCAAGAAATACTTTTAACCACTGTGTTTGAGGCTTAGAAATTTGCTAGAATTGAGGAATAATACATGTTCAGTAGAAGAATATTTCTGCAGCACTTTCTGGTGTTTGCCTGAGCAGTCTACTCAATACATAAGTTGCTTAATGTATCCCAATTTTGCAGACCTTTGCCACTGCAAAATTTACCCTATGCTACTGAAATAAAGAGTAATTAATTCTTCTTTAAAACCATGTACACATTCCCCATTTCCCTTGTTTTAAAGGGCAGTTGCCACTCCTTTTGCTTCTGCTCCTGCTGAATTTTGGGGTTTGTTGAACTTGCCAGTATAGTTCTGAACAGGTTCAAAGGGGCAGTGGCCTGCCAGCTCTGGATGTTGCCTACTCCTGATTCAACATAATCTTTGCAAATAATATCTTCACTGCTATTTTTGAAGACTTTTCAGAAATACCGTGGCCCAAGCCCAAGGATGTGCTACTGCATCCTTAAACCTCAGACTACTGTGTATCTGTAAATGGATGGAGTGGAGAGAGAAGTGTAGGAATGACTTAAAAGGCCAAAGGACTTAGCGGTAGGGAATGCAAAACCTCCTGCCCACTCCCACTATCCTTTCAACCAGGCAGCCTCGCTGGAAAAACAGCTTGCAGAAGGAACAGATTTTGGAAGATAGCATGGAAAGAATCTCAAGTGTGGAGTGACCAGATGAAAAAAAGAAGACAGGATTCCTGTAAATGTAATATTTTCTTGCAAGTGGACATTTCAGCACCTTTTAATGCAAAATACAACAGCTGAAAGTTCCTCTTTCACATAACTGTGAAAGGTAAAGGATCCCTGTCCTACTCAGGTAGCCACCGTTGGACCTCCAGTGTTACAGGGTTGTATATGCTGGCTGGATAGCTCAGTAGTTTAGGTATCTGGTTGCGGAGCCAGAGGTTGGGAATTTGATTCTCCACTGTGCCTCCTGCAAGTAGAGCCAGCCTATGTGGCGTTGAGCAAGCTGCACACTTCTTTTTAACAGTGCTAGGGCTAGAGGTGGCAGATGCCTGTGTAGTTCAATATCCATATAAAACTCTTATACTGTTAAGCATAAACAGTAGATTAATATACATACACACAGAACTGTTTCTCTATTGGGGTTCTCTTCCATAGCATTGACAATCCTTTCGATACATTACCATGTGTAATGAGGCTTGAATTAGAGATGTGTTTGGGAGCTAGCAGATCACTTCGAAGCCTTCAGTGTTGAATCTTAATGAGGCTTAAAAGTCCTTCTCACCCTCTAATCCGGAGGCTGAATTAGAGATCTGTTTGGGAGCTAGTAGATCACTTCGAAGCCTTCAGTGTTGAATCCATGGGCTTTTGGGTGGCCAAGGGATAACATATTTATTGAATATTTGTTTGTTTGTTTGTTTGGGATAATATATTTATTGAATATTTATTTATTTATTTATTGGTATATTTATTGATTGATTTATTGGGGAAAAAATCATGTAGAACCAAAACTGTGTTGCTCAAACCCATGAAATACAAGGCAGAAGTGTACAGTCCAGGGTACCACCGAAAGAAGGGAATGGTAAACAACTTCTGAGTATTATCTACCCAGGAAACCCTGAAAAGGGTCACCATAAGTCAGAATTGACTTGGTGGGATATGATCATTTTATTTGGGCTAAATTTCAGTGGGCTCAACCTCCTTGGTTTCAGAGGGGGGAACACTTTGCTTCTGAGCAGTCGTCTGTCTCTAAAGCCATTCCACAACTGAAACCAATTGTTTCTCCTCTTCTTCTCCTCTTTACTGAACAAGACACTGAAATTTAAGAAGTTCTCTTTGCTGGGTTGGAGTGATGGTGGAATAACAGCACTCATTGCTGCTGCAAAATACCCAGATCTTATTCATAAAATGGTCGTTTGGGGAGCCAATGCTAATGTTACAGAGGAGGATGTGAAACTTTACAATGGTAAGTATCAGATGAATGAACCTCTTTGCTCTCTTATTTTCTTAACAGCCATAAATGTTTAGTCATACTTCTCAGAAGACACTGTGTGGAAAGAGTGCTTGACTCACTGTATACTAGAGTATACAACGAGTCAAGCCCTCTTTCCATACAGTGTTCTAAGAAGTATACTAGAGTATACAATGTTCTGTTCTACTGTAGCAGTATAGTATACAACAATATACAACACTGACTCATAACTCACAGTACAAGATTCTTGAGGTATCCATCCACCCCTGAAACTTCCTGGAAGTGGCATCTCTAACAACCAGTAACTTCTAGATAACCTTTGAGATCCAGAGATGTATGAGTCAGATGTCTTCTTGAGCAGAGAAGAAAACTAGGATTGTTCAAAACGATAGGTGTGATTAGGCATCAATGCATGTGGTTCATTGGATAACTTGATTCAGAATCTTGTTGTTGTTTAGTCATTAAGTCATGTCCAACTCTTCATGACCCCAGAATCTTAGTAGAATGTAAATACTAAAAAGAAACAATATGTATTCTTAAGTCCTAAATAAGAATTAAATAACAAAATAAATGAACAAATGCCACAGCATCAGTGCTTTGAATGTTATGTTAAATAACTAACATGTTCACATATTTGGTTTACAAAATTGATCCATTCTACATGACGTTATGTAATGCGAAAATTCGTAAACCAAAACGCCAATTGCACTACGAAAGGGGTGGCGCTATAGGCGCAATGCGCTCTGAGAAAACCTTTTCGTACTCCAGGGGAAAAAAGGAAAACAATGTAAACCAAGGCATTGTACTCCGGGGAAAAAAGGAAAACAATGTAAACTGAGGCATTATTTCTTATGGATTTTGGTTCATAAACCAAAAACTACGTAAACCAAGGCATTCACAAACCAAGGTACTGCTGTAATTGTTGATTTATGCTTGCATAAGTGAAATGCCATATATCATAGCAACAAATTACTGATAATGAGGCTATTGTTGCATTTCTGGGCCTGTACATGATTGCATAAACAGGTGCAGATGAAAGTATGTGTCCAGCACCTTGTCAGTTAGTGGCAACTTGTAGCAGTGACTTACACCATTTCACTGTACATCTCAGTAATCTGGTTATTGTTTTCCTAACATGTTATTTTTAAATTCATTCTGGAGTCTAAAAATGGTCCCAAATGCCCCAGTGAGTTGAAAAGTAACATTTTGAAGTAAAGAAGTAATTTAAAATAATCTGCAAAATATGCCTGTATTACTGTATATGCTTGAGTCTAAGCCAACCTGAATATAAGCCGAGGCACCCAATTTTACCACAAAAAAACTGGGAAAACTTATTGACTCTAGTATAAGCAGAGGGTGGAAAATGCAGCAGCTACTGGTAAATTTCAAAAACAAAAAATAGATACCGATAAAATTACATTAATTGAGACATCAGTAGGTTAAATGTTTTTGAAGATAGTGCCCTTCTGAGCTGCGAGACACATTTCACTGCCTGTGGAGGGAGGACCCATACTGGATGCTGCGCTTATCTACTGCTCTAATGCTGTGTTACAAGATGGAGGGAGACGGAGGATGGAGGAGGAAGGTGGGAGGAGGAAGGTGGGTACATAGAATATGCAGAAGGAGGAGGATGGGAGTGTCCTGGAAGCGGAAATGCAGTTTAATTGACCCAGGTCATCAGACTACCCACAGAGGTTGCAGGTGCCTGTAGATGAGCAGGGGAGTCTAGAGAACACCTGCATTGCAGGGGAGAACATGTAATTTTGACACTAACTCAAATAAAAGCCGAGGGGGTGCTTTTTCAGCAAAATAATTGTGCTAAAAAACTAGGCTTATACTCAAGTATATACAGTAATTAATTCTCAGTTGAACACCAGGGACAACCAGCCAGCCTTCTGATGCTATTGAAAGAGTTTTCAAAGTATGTGTTAAATTTGTTATATGCAGGTATCCGTGATATTTCAAAGTGGAGTGAAAAGACCAGAAAGCCAATGGAAGCGATGTATGGACTTGAATATTTGAGCAAAACCTGTTCAGCCTGGGTGGATGGAATCTCCCAGTTTATACACAGGCCAGATGGTAAGAAATGAAACCAACGGTGATAAGGTTCAGGCTGCCTTGAGATTTCTGTTGCATTACATTTCACAGTCACTGCCTGATCTGGTCCTCACAGCAGTATTGACATGTTTCCCATATCTATATGGTTCCTCCTTAGGGGTTTGCCAAATAATATATTTTATTTAATTAATACTGTATATGTATAGTTGTAGCTTTATCACCCCAGTAAATATTCGTGTAATGTTCAGGTAAAGGTGTGGGGTTGGAAGAGAAGGGAAAAAAAGGGTGTCGACTTTGAGAGCAGCCTGTGTTAAAGCTGCCTTTTGGTGTAAAGCCATAGTACCAAAATTGTTGCTCTAATTCAGACCAAAGGTCCACATACTCAACAGGGCTGGTCCTGCTGTAAGGCAGAGTGAAACAATGGCCTCAGGTGTAACACCCCCCCAACCCTACCAGCTGTTCCTCTTGAGCTCCCAGACATTTCCCTCTGATGGAGTGACAGAGCTTTATGTGCCATGTCGCCTATTATACACTCCCTAAACTAGTTGTCTACCCTAAGGTACAAGGGAGTACATTATTCTTTAACCAGTGAAATGCAAACCTTTTTGTCTCTGTTTGCAGTGTAGAGGGGAGTCTGCCATCTTGCCCCTTATCATGGGCAGCCAAACATCTTGGGAAAACTATGGCTGGAGGTAAGGTCAATTACCTTGCCTCTAGCTATGGAAAAAATATGCCCCTGCACGCTCACAAATAAAACATAAAACATTTTCATTTTAGGCAATTTTTGGTACAGTAACTGGCTCCTGAAGGAGTTTTAATGGTGGAGCTCAATTTTCCCCCCATCTTTTAAAATGTGCTCCTGGATTGGGTTTGAACTTGTAAATGGTCAATGGTTCTTAATACTGTGGTTTAATTTATTTTTGCTTATTGAAATGCTTATTTTTTTAAAATGCTCTGTTACGCCACCATAGGTTCCTTTGTCAGGAGGAAAGTGTAGCCAAAATAAAGCAAACATTGGTAGCCATCCCCTGTTCATCCCCCTTTGGCTCTGGTAGTGTTTTAAGTAGGCAGTTTAGGAAAGAAAAGAGTGAAGTGGCAGTATATATGTAAGGAAGACACCACTATACAGTGGTTTGTAAAAGTGCCAAAAGAAGTAGGGTTAGAAGGAAGATTTGGAAGAAAGAGAAGGAAGGACATCCAGATCCTCCTTCCTTCCTTACTCACCCCCAAAAGTAGCTGGCTGTTTGGAGTGCTGCAACGTTTAAAGCTGTCTTTCAACATTAAGGCTCTTGTCCTGTTGAACAGTTGCGCAGTTGGTGGGAGGATTGTAGCAGGTGGAGGTTTTCTTGCCCCCACAACCATCTGCACCTGCTGACATTCCATCTTCTGTGTAATCGTCAAAGGAACTGGAGCCCACAGATTGAAAAGGGAGAGCCATCTTTGCTATTAAATGTGCTCACAAGAACCAGAGTAGTATAGCTGATAGCATTTAATGGCCTTAAGGAAACTCAGGTTCATGTTTCCACCTCATCCTGAATCTTACTGGGTGGCCTCAGGCCAAAACCGCTCCGTCAACCTACCAAGTTTCACAGATTTATTTAAGATGCAACAGCGCAGTTGTCTTTCAGAACACCATGGGCTCATTGGACAGTGTCCTAGACTGTTATAAGCACCAAACGTTCTTAAGCAAAAACCCGCTACATCAGAACTGAACTGTCTGAAAGTTCTCTCGGAGCCGGTGAAAAATTTTGTGTTCTACTTTTCAAATTACTTTGGCTTTGGATCCATGACATTTGGAGACCAAACCCCATGAACCGCCTAGCATCATGTGCAGCTCGAACGTTTCTTTTTGTCTAATGCAGAAATAACTTCCTTTATCTTCTAATCAAAGCACAAGGTGGTATGTTTTCCTCCCCTCTTCTGCACAAATTTTACCTTTCATTCCTTCCATTCAACTATAATGTCACATTACAGCTATGTCATATTTAGCTATGATTAATGCTCACCATGCCCTTGTATCCAGAGTTGGAGGTATATATTCCAAGCTCCATCATTCAGTTAATGATGGCTACAGCTACAATAAAAAGCATGGAAAGGAGAGGTGGCCAGGGAATATTTAGGAAATTGTAAATTTTGTTTAAATAAAATGCGGGGGAAAAATACATTGCTGTTTTCATAAAGTCTTTGAATCAGATATGTCTTCTGGGACTCAGTACAGTTGCAGTGACAATCCACCTTCAGATAAAGAACTGAAATTGGAAGAGGTCTAAACCTTGACCGTAGCCAAGTAACCTTTAGATGGCCCAAGTCTATACATCTCCTTAACTATTCCTTCTTTTTTTAAAAAAAAGCAAGCTTGTTCAAAATTCCAGAAAGGAAATGATGCACCATCTCACAGCATATGAGATGTTTTCTTCTTGTTCCACCTTGAATACAAATTAACATTTCTGACTTTCTGTTTTTGGACCAAGTCAATCATTGCCAGTTTTAGTTAAAAAGTAATAATTGTTCAAAATTAATTACAACCTTCTCAACCAAACAGGTCAGAAGCACCTTCCAAATAGTAACTGCTATTCAGTTTCTCAAGGACAGAGAGGTGAAATCACTGGAAGTGTTTTGGGGCTAAGAAATTTACACAGCAGTCAATCACTGGCAGGCTTTGGAAGTGGTTTTTGGACTCCATCACCCAGAATGCAGTGATTCTGGGAATTGTAGTCCAAAAAACCAAAAGCCTTTCGACTGTCTTAATTTTTTGATCACTCTCAATAGTTTCAGGTAGGCCTTGCTAGAATATTTTACAGGTCAGTGCAATATGATTTTTTTTTCTTGCAAAAATACCTTCCCCCCTCAAAAAAAAGCACCTTCCACACTAACCTATGCCTTCCGATGATCTGTTTTAAAACAAAATATATTCTGAATTATAGACATCTAGGAAGGCTTAACACATGGCAAAATTGCCCTCATGTGCACAGATGGCTCTGAGGGACCTCCTGAAACAAACTATTTTTTGCAAACAAACAAATTAAAAACTATTTTGTAACACATGAGAGGGTCCAGGACTCCATGTTTGGATCTCTGGTTGCTAAATAGTTATTTTAGGGCTTTGTATTTCAAGTTTCCTTTTCCTTTACCTAAAAGCAGGAGGATATGTTATTATGAAGGGGAAACTGCAGACTAAATTGTGTAAAATGTATAAATTTGCATACTCTTTATTTCTTTACATCTCACTGCAGACGGACTTGACCGCACAGGACTGCTTTGCCTGGTTATAAAATCCAGGTTTCCTAAGAACGTTTTCTTGTTAGGGAACAAACAGCCACTTGCCGTTATTAACTCTGATCTAATTTAGAGTTGTGTCCCATCTGAACGTGAGGGGAGCCCTATTGATAGGCAACAAAAAGCAATTTTAAAAACTAAACACAAAGCCCAGCTAAAACAAAAAAAATGTAATTGACTTTGAAATTCCTCGCAGTGGTAAAAAAAACAAAAACAAGAGCTCCAATATCAAGATAAAGAATTCAATACACACTGGAATGGAAGCAGTGGGCAGACTGGGAATGTCTGAAGTGTAAGAGCTCTGGCACTTGGGAAGTGGGAAGGTGCTCCCACTGTGCCCTTGTGTTTAGTTAACAACTCAGAACTGCTGCTGTAAGTGGCTGCTAACTTTTATGTTTATCTTTTAATCCACAGAATGCTAGTTTCCCTTCCCTTGTGGTGGGAGGTAGACTTCATTCAACGTTACAGCATGATTTTGTTTTTAAAGGACCTTTCTCTTTTTTTCTCTCTCACCCTCCACTCTTCCCATAGGTAGTATCTGCCAGTCTTCATTACCACACATTAAGTGCCCTACATTAATAATACATGGTGCGAAAGATCCACTGGTGCCACGCTTTCACCCAGAATATATTCACAAGCATATTGCAAATTCACGGTGAGTCAGACGCTGGGGTGTTTCCCCCACACACATTTGAATAAACTGCTTTAGTTGGTGTAATAATAATTTACAGGAATGCCCCTCTTATGTTATCCCATGAGGTATATCAGTTTAATACTTCCATATGGAGTACGGTAGCATGGAAAACCTCTGGCTTCTATTTACCTTCCAGACACTTCTTGGACTGCACTCCTTCTCCAGTCCCAGCCAGCACTGATAATGGTGAAGGATGATGAGAGAGTTTCTGGAAGTGCTCTCTTGCCTATCCCTGTGGTAAACACATATTCACAATGTGTTCACAAGCAAACAGATCCACAATACAGTCTAGGAGGGGTTTGAGTTAATCAGTTCTTGCTTCTGAAACCAAGTAGCAGCCTTCCCAAAAAGAAGCACCATTTCGTCTTACAACGAAAACTGAGTGATACGTTTGGGGTCAAAAGCAGGGCATGACCGCCTAGCCATGTGTTTCCCAAGTGAGACAGAAGTTGTCAGGGATAAATAATTTTCAAACTGAACTTTATAAACATTTCTGGTGCCCCTGTAGTGATAACAGATCAAAGTAGTTACTGCTTTATTAAGCCACTTGGTTAACATTCCTTAAGGCAGGGGTCCCCAACCCCCTGTCTGTGGGCTTCCTTGAACTGGGCCGTGGACATGGATCACTGGCGCCCTGCCCGCACGCACAGTGGGCGTGTCACGCTCGCGCACATGAGCATGACATGCCCCTCCACACCCACCTGCAAGAGTGACACGCCCACCCATGAGCACAGGGGTGCCCACTGACACCCCGAACCGCATGCACAGTGGGCGTGTCACGCTCACACACATGAGCATGACATGCCCCTCCACAAGGTGTGACACACCCATCTGCAAGAGTGACACACCCACCCATGAGCACAGGGGTGCCCCTACCCCCCAACCGGTCCACAGTCTGAAAAAGGTTGGGGATTGCTGCCTTAAGGAATGCTTCAAAGGGGGAAAATAGTACTACTGTATATTTTTAAAGTGCTGAGACCTCAACTGCAAAGCCATGTTTGGTGGGTATAGAAGTTCCATGCTGTTTTTAAACACAGACCTGAAGGATGGGAGCAATGGGAAGGGTAGCATGCACCTTGACTTAGAGGAGTTAGGGAGCTGCAGCTCAGGCAGTAAAACGACTTGGGCCAGCCCTGCTTAGTTACATTCAAAACATGATCACTTCCAATTAAACATGCATAGGAACAGACTACTGTATAAACCTGTTCACTGCAGAATCCACACCGCTTTGTGTGGAACCCTCTTAAATTTGGACTTTATCTGCTATATTACCTGCATTTTCCAAAATCCTTGCCCTTCAAAATCACTTGTTCAGTTTTTTGAAAATGAACATGTACTGCACTAGATTTGAATGTGCTTTTTAAGTTACACATTTCCATTACTATCCAGAAATCCTGCTCCTTTGTCATATATGCAGAAAGCAAACAATGTAATCATCCAGTTGGGGAGTTAACAAGTGCCGGCTGGAATTCTTGAGAGCTTGCCAAGCCAGTAGTCCCAGCAGTGACTCATTGTCAGCTACGATGTTACAAGCCATTGAATGCTACACAGTTTGCCTTCTGCGTGAGTAACAAGCAACAGGATTTCAACTCATAAATGGTGACATAGAACCTGTGAAATACTTCAGCAGTCTCTCCTTGTCAGCTACGATGTTACAAGCCATTGAATGCTACACAGTTTGCCTTCTGCGTGAGTAACAAGCAACAGGATTTCAACTCATAAATGGTGACATAGAACCTGTGAAATACTTACTTTCACATGTATATTTCATTTATATTCTAAGAACCTGATTACATCAGAATGTTGGTTTTTGGTTTGCACTTGGGCAGCAAAAGTATGTAAGTAAGAAATCGTCGTGTTCCCTGCACACTAAAACTTAATTCAGTATTTGTCTTTGCAGGCTGCTTTTTTTTCCTGAAGGAAAGCATAATCTACATCTACGCTTTGCTGAAGAGTTTAATGAACTGGTGGAAAATTTCCTTTCTTAAAATTGTGTTACTTAATTGATACTCCCCTATTTCTTCACCGTTCCTGTTATGGCAGACCTTGTGAAAAGGGAATCAAAAGTTTTCACATCTTCCATTTATCGCTGCCAAAGTTGTAACACCAACATGTTTGCTATGTGAAATTGTCCTCATAGGGTTTTTTAAAATTTTTACTAAACAAGGTTTAACATCTGCCACTGCCTAATTGTAACTCCTGACAACTTCAAGAAAATTGTTAAGACAGTAACACTAGTTTTAATAAATACTTTATTGCCAAGACTCATCTTGAAGAAAACAGAAGTGATTATTTAGAACACATACCATTGTACAGAATCTTTCACACTGACATTGCGGAAAAGCCATTGGATAATTTGATTTCCTTGATGAGTTTACACACTGCCTGAAATAATGCTGAGGTAACACACTGCCACAGAAACCATGCTTCTCCATGCCTGCTCTCTTAGCATTCTACTTGCTGCTGTGCCCACCCTACCACATACCTTTAATCTTTTTCATTCCTATAAATGTGGCGTAATTTTAGTTCCAGTTGCTCTTGAAGAAATGTCAGAAAACATGGCTTTGAAGATATTGTGACTTTCACATTTCTGATCAAAAGACCTTTCAGAAATACATCCTAACAAATTAACTAAAAGAGATGAAAGCCCCTATCTGTGCAGCCTAGTAGCAAGGGTCCTGCCCTCCAAGGAAAAAAAAATCACAATAAAGAACCCAGCCCAATTTCTGGAAATTCAATATATTATTAAAACGTTGTACAAATAGCACACAAGCTAAATTGCAGACATAAACACTTCTGCTGCAAGGCCACAAGGAAGACAAAGGGAAGGTAGCCAAAAATAGATTTGTGGAGTTCTCTGAAGCAGATGTGGGAAGGGGAGTATGGCCCTCCAGAGGTTGGATTCAATTTCCATCAGCCCTGGCCAAGATGAAGGTATGATGGGGGCTGCAAGGCAATGATACTTGAAGGGCGAGGCATCCCTTCCTCACCCCAAGTTTATTGTTCTCTTACACTTACAAGTGTTTTATGAGATCAGGAAGGGAAAAGTGTCTTATATTTGCTCCTTAATTAGCTGACCAAATTAATATTTCTACCTTCTAGTAAAATCATGATAGTTCAGCTACTATTATGAATCAGCTGATAACTCATTTTATCACCTTATTTTAGACACACAATTTTTAAAAATATTTCCAATAGAATCTTCAACACTAGCAGCAATATTACTTGGTAATTAACTTGAGTATCAAACAAGACTGCAGCAACTCAAGTCAACTGAACAATATATATATATTTAATTTTATAAAATCACTTCCTTTTAGGCTACCAGCATACTATCACATATACTAACATACCTTCATATCATTTAGTGTTAGTTACTTAGGCCTTCTTCAAAATGACATGAACTTGCCAAATAATTTATAAAGATTTTAGTTACATACAGTAGAAATCATACAAACTGCCGACAGAGGCAACAGTAAAAAGCACTAAGTATAATTGAAAAAGCATGCATGAGTACAGCTGAACAGACCTCACCCCAGACCCCGGCCTCACTGTCTTCCACCAGCTCCAAGCCTAAGCCTCATCCTCCTCGCCTTCCTCTTCAAACTCCCCTTGCTCATCCGCAGTGGCGTCCTGATACTGCTGGTATTCGGAGACCAGGTCATTCATGTTGCTCTCTGCTTCCGTGAACTCCATCTCATCCATGCCCTCGCCGGTGTACCAGTGCAAGAAGGCTTTGCGTCGGAACATGGCTGTGAACTGCTCGGAGATTCTCTTGAACAGCTCCTGGATGGCCGTGCTGTTGCCGATGAAGGTGGCAGACATTTTGAGGCCTCTCGGGGGAATGTCGCAGACGGCCGTCTTCACGTTATTGGGGATCCATTCCACAAAGTAGCTGCTGTTCTTATTCTGGACGTTCAGCATCTGCTCATCCACTTCCTTCATAGACATCCTCCCCCGGAAGATGGCCGCCACCGTCAGATAGCGCCCGTGGCGGGGGTCGCAGGCTGCCATCATGTTTTTGGAATCAAACATCTGCTGGGTGAGCTCTGGCACCGTCAGGGCCCGGTACTGCTGGCTGCCGCGGCTGGTGAGGGGAGCGAAGCCGGGCATGAAGAAATGCAGGCGGGGGAAGGGCACCATGTTAACGGCCAGCTTGCGAAGGTCGGCATTCAGTTGTCCAGGGAACCGGAGGCAGGTGGTCACTCCGCTCATGGTGGCCGAGACCAAGTGGTTGAGGTCCCCGTAGGTCGGGGTTGTGAGTTTCAGGGTACGGAAGCAGATGTCATAGAGCGCTTCATTGTCAATACAGTAGGTTTCATCAGTGTTCTCCACCAGCTGGTGAACAGAGAGGGTGGCGTTGTAGGGCTCCACCACTGTGTCTGACACCTTGGGGGAAGGCATGACGCTGAAGGTGTTCATGATCCTGTCGGGATACTCCTCTCTAATCTTGCTGATAAGGAGCGTGCCCATCCCGGATCCTGTGCCACCACCCAGGGAATGGGTGAGCTGGAAACCCTGCAAACAGTCACAGCTCTCCGACTCCTTCCTGACCACATCCAGCACAGAGTCCACCAGCTCAGCTCCCTCTGTGTAATGCCCCTTGGCCCAGTTGTTCCCAGCACCACTCTGGCCTAGAGGAAGCAAGAGAAGGGGTCAGTTATAGAGAAGCTTCCCCTTTACATGCCAATGGTAAAGAAATAACGTTCAACATTTAGACTAAAGAAGCCATGTAGAACCAACCTTCCATAGTACTTCCTAAACAGATTGATAATAGTCAAGTTACTTATCTTCCTCAGGAATTGTACAGTGGTGCCTCGCTTTACAATTGCCCTGCATTACTACGAATCTGCATTACAACGATCTTTTTGCGATCGCAAAACAATCGTCTAAATGGGGGAATTTTGCTTTGCGATGATCAGTTCCCTCTTCGGGAACCGATTCTTCGCAAAACGACAGTTTTCCAACAGCTGATCAGCGGTTTCAAAATGGCCTCCGGGTAAATAAAATGGCTCCCGCTGTGTTTTGGGATGGATTCCTCGCTTTACATGCAGTGAAAATGGCCGCCGTATGGAGGATCTTCGCTAGATGGTGAGTTTTAAGTCCACTGGAACGCGTTGAAAGGTTTTCAATGCGTTTCAATGGGCTTTTTATTTTCGCTTTACGATGTTTTCAATTAACAGCGATTTTCCTGGAACGGATTATTGCCGTTATGTGAGGCACCACTGTATTGTTAAGACTGAAATCTAGCCTGCAGTCCGTGGGGGAAAGTGCCCTGGAACAAATGTAACAATCTTTCATGCCCTTCACCCTTAAGAGTCAAGCTCTGAGAGGTCTTTTGTGCTAGGTCACCAAGGACAGGGACATGTGGCTTTCTAGTTATTGTTTACTGCCATTCTCATCAGCCCTTACCAGAATAGGCAGTGGTTGGGGATGATGGGAAGTGCAGTCCTATCCCAACAATGCTCTTACATGCTAGACCTACCTATAGCCACACCACAGCTCTGCCCCCGTCCTGGTGCTGCTAATCTTTTCTTGCCCTGTTTTCTGTGGAAGGTTAAAAGTTATAGCCGGAGGGAAGCAGAACTGCCTCTGTGTGATTATTCAAACGTTCTTTATGTTTAAAAACTGGATGATTCTGGCTTTTTGCACTTCATGAGAAGAAGCCAGGTGCATGGAACATTTTGAATGAGTTAAGTATGAGTTGTTCGACAGCAGCTGTTTTAAGATACAATTTAACTTGAGGCAAGGACAAAGGCTGCAGTAATGGAAACGGTTTTGCATACCAAAGACGAAGTTGTCAGGTCTAAAGATCTGACCAAAAGGTCCAGACCTGACCGAGTCCATCGTTCCAGGCTCCAAATCGACAAGGATTGCACGGGGCACGTACTTGTTTCCTATTGGAAAAACAGAAGCCAGCTTATAGACATAATAGTGACATTATTAAATTCTTGCCAGTATTAGTGCTCTTGGCGACCTCAGCATTATTCAAAGAGGGGAAATTAAGTAACACTTGATGGAGCAGAGAGTTATAATAGCTCTAATGTACAAACAGCACATCTGTAGACAGATCTTGACTATGACCAACATTCTCCAAACTATTAGTCAGCAAATTTTAATCATATCCTGGAATACTAGCTTCATAATCCTGGAGCTAGTCGAGAAATAGCCACAACGATGTCTTCCCACAAGCACAGAAGGAAGCACCGCTTCCTTCCTTCCGATTCTACAAGTAGAGAGAGAAAGACCTGCTTTTTCCAAGTTCCCTTGCAAGTCTTCATGAGATGTGGAGAAATTCCAACAACAGCTGTTAAACAAGATGGCCATGGGACAGAAAACAGCTGCTTGCCCTGCAACCGCCTGGCCCAAAGTGCTGGTTGGGCTGAGATGATTTGGAAACACATTTGGTTCAGCAGAATCCAAACTGTTTCCTGAGAGTTAAAGTACAGTATAGAGTTAAAAATAAAATGCTTCCCTGAGAAAATGGCTACATACAGAACATGGACATGCCAGAAGGAAGGTTGGCCTAAAAGCAGAGTGTGATTTTCTTATGTGCAAGGAACGTCTTTGCAAATGAAGTATTTAGTACAGTACATGTAAATCCCGCCCGCCCCCAATAACCATTTGCAATTTGAGACAGCTAGACCTCATTTCAGGGTACCTCTAGGGAGGCATTCACAAAATGACCTGCACAATTTGAGTGGGTGATTTGCAAGCCAGTGAGGGAAGCAACTCCATCTGCAATATCTCCACAATGATGTAATGGCAGTTATCTCACCTTACTCAAACTGGTGCCCCTCGGAAAGTTTGGGACTACAACTCCCACCGACCACAGCCAGCGTTGCCAATGATCAAGGATGGCAGCCATGACCCCAAAATCAATATTAATCAGACTGGGAAGGACAAAGTTACTTTCGATTAAGCCAGACTGTCCATTTAGACCAGCACTCCGTCTGGCTATAGCTCTCAAGGCACACGTCTTCCCCATTGTCTGTTCTCTGTTCTTTATGACTGCTGAACTAAGACTTTACTCTTTAGCATTTGGCAAGTGTAGAACAGTCCCAAAATAGCGTGTCTATGTTAGAAAGGGGTGGTGGTGGCGGCAGTGCTGTGGACTTGTTTTATTTACTTCCAGTTAACAGAAAACCTAAATCTTGAACCAAGATGAAACAACATTTACATTTCCAAATCAGATAAACAGGTTTTTTAATTTTATTTTAATGAGTCAGAAATGACAGACCAACATTCTGTTTGCTTTTCCAGATCAATTTGTTTATTAAAGGTGGTCCCAATTAAATGAACACTTTTCTTTATTTTAAGCCTATAATAATCATTTCTATACAGGATAGTTATTCCCCTAAATCTCACATCCTCTGTAGTGTTGGTCCATTAAACCATGCGGTGTCAGTTACTGATGCAATGAGGAAGGAACTAAATTAAGCATTTCATTCTAAAAAGCTATTTAAAAATCCAAATTTGGCTGGAAAAAAAACCAAAAGCATTCTCCCATTGGCGAGGTTAAGGAATGGAATTGGCTGTTCTGCACAGATGTTCTTGTGGCCATCCATCCATCTCTAAAAACTGTACCAACTGAATTTTTTTCAGCAACAATGAAACATGCCCCTTCAAAGGAAACTTTCCGCTTTCTTTGAATGGCTTTCAGTTTGCTATCAAATTCAGTGGCAATCCACAAAAAGTTATTAATAAGGAGCAAAAATGCTGGCTTTACATTATTCCCACCCTCAGTGGTTGCTGTTGAATTTTGGCAGTGAGGAGTGCTAGTGGCATAGACTAGTGGGATGAAATTGGCCTCCAGAATCTATTGAAGTTGTCCACTCCTATGGGAGGTAACCACGACATTTGAAGTGTTCAACCCTATGTGTAAATACTACCGGCTGAATCATTGCACTGATTCATTAAAGTGATAGCAAGAGGGTGTGTTAAATTCATTAAATCTACCTTGTTCACATGTATGCTGGCACCCTTTGCTGGCAGTGAAGACTGTAGGAGCTGAGGTAAAGTGGAGTGTTAGTATTAGAACTGGTTTCATAACTCGGGCTCACCACTGACCTACCCATCAAGTGCTTTCTGTGTCATGCCATTCTAGAGGGAAAATATTTTCATTTTGTTTGTTTTTCCCATTAAAAAAAAGAGTGACCATGTGGAGAAGCAAGTAATAGTTGGCAAGTGCCCTGTCTTGGAGCCCTAGAAAGAGCTGGCAAAGGCTATCAGGCCTGGTCAAATGTCACTCATACAGACACAAATTTTCTTCCTCTTTCCCTCCAAAGGAAGGAGAAAGGTGGGTCACTTCAACAGTGTAATGCATCAGAGGTCAATTATGCTGTTCTCCACATAGATCTCATTTCCTAGTGGTCATGCTGAGAATAAGAGGAGTCTGAGAGTGACCTCTTTTATTTTGCTCACTTTTACCTCAACATTGTTATTTGAACAACAGGAAGACATTAAATAAACATCTATTTACCTAGCAAATAAGGACAGAAGAAGCACCTGGGCATATTTTGCCTGAACAGATGTAGAGGTGGGCTGCTCCTATCCCTTCCAGTTTTTATATTGTTTATTGTAAGCTGCCTTAGGTCTTTTTGAGGAGACCGGCAGGGTACAAACAGTTTAAATAAACAACTGTTTTCTTTACCAAATACTAAAGAAAACTCCACCTACTAAGTTTCTGCCTGCCATTCATAGAGTCGGAAGAGACCACTGAGGCCTTCCAGTCCAACCCCCCGCCATGCCATCAAACTACTCCCAACAGATGGCTATCCAGCCTCTTGCTTAAAAGCCTCCAAAGAAGGAGACTCCACCACCCTTTGTGGCAGCCTATTCCACTGCTGGACAGCTCTGACTGTCAGGAAGTTCTTCCTAATGTTCAGATGGAATCTCTTTTCTTATAGTTTGAAATCGTTGCTCTGTGTCCTAGTCTACAGAGCCCGGGAAAAAAACCTGTCCTCTCTTCAACATGACATCCTTTCAAATATTTAAACATGGCTATCATGTTCCCTCTCAACTTTTTTTTTTGTAAAGCTAAATATTCCCATCTCCCTAAGCCACTCCTTGTAGAACATTGCTTCCAGACCTTTAACCATTTTAGTCGTCCTCCTCTGGACATGTTCCAGATTGTCAACATCCTTCCTGAATTGAGGTGCCCAGAACTGGACACAATACTCCAGCTGAGGTCTGACCAAAGCAGAATAGAGTGGTACTATCACTTCCCTTGATCTAGACACTATACTCCTATTGATACAGCCAAGGATCACATTGGCTTTCTTGGCAGCTGCATCACACTGCTGACTCATGTTCAGCTTGTGGTCTACCAAGACTCCTAGATCCCTTTCACAGGTACTGTTGTCTAGCCAGGTGTCTTCCATCCTATATCTGTGCTTTTCCTTTTTTCTGCCTAGCTGTAGGACCTTACATTTCTCCCTGTTGAAATTCATTTTGTTAGTTTTGGCCCAGGACTCTAATCTGTCACTGTCATTTTGAATTTCAATCCTGTCCTCTGGGGAATTAGCGACCCCTGCCAATTCCGTATCATTCATTTATTAAGACACTTGGCTCCAGGTTTGGGGGAATATACAGAAATGAATAAAACAGAGTTGCTTGAAGAAAAAAGTATATGTGAATATGGGATACCAATACTTCATAAATTATTTTGGAAAATATTAGCTGTATTTCAAGTTTGCCAATTTGTCAGTAAAAAGGGAAGAGATCTAAAGACGACTAAAATGTGTTCCAATGCAAGACATGGGAGTAGTATCTTAAAACAGAGTAGATGTCTTGTGGATTCTACATACTGAGAAGCAGATAAATCTTTTCGTTAAAGGCACAAAATTAATCCAGTCATTATTATGTTATTAGTGCAATCAATCAACTAAGGCTGCAATCCTATCGTTCCTGGGGTGGCTTTCCAAATGGAACAAGATTTTTCAGATCCCCTTCTCCTGAAGGTAAGTGAAATGGCCCCACCTCAGAGAACTGATCCTGCCCTTCAGACCCCACCTACCAGCCACTGCGGTTCCTTTCCAACCATGGAGCAAGGTCCATAGTGCCCCTGTTCCTCTGACACACTCCCAGAAGCAGCGAATATGTGCCAGACCTGAAGCTGGGTTGCAATGGGAGGTAAACTTTAAAAGGGAAAGGTAAAAACCTGCAGGGGAGGAGGGGTGTATTTAACCCTCCCATCCTGCTGGAATGAGCACCATAGGATTTGACACAAGGTAGTCCTTCTGCTTTTGGATTTCCTCACACCAGGGTTACTTTTACTCTGCTTTGTTTTTGTAACAGGATGACATGTGAAATTTAAAGGAAGCCAGGGAGCACTCCTCCTGAAAAACAACTGACGTAGTTTTTACCAGCAGCTTCATTGTAGTAGACGTTGATTCTCTCCAGTTGCAGGTCACTGTCTCCATGGTAGCTGCCGGTGGGGTCAATGCCGTGCTCATCGCTGATGACCTCCCAGAACTGGAACGGGAATTTTTGAGAGCTGTTAGCAATTGCCTTCCAAAATGCCAGGCAGGATGATGCACCCAACACTTGGCCCTTAGCCAAGGATTCAGTGGCAAGGCCTTCTCTAACCAGGTGCCCTCCAGATGGGGGATGCCAGCATAGACAGGGAATGGTGGGTGTGGCAAAAGAACATGGCAAGGGATTGGGAGAGACAGTCACAGCACAAGATATACATTATGACAGCAGGTCTGGTGTAAAGGACAGAGCAATGGATCTGGATTGAAATCCTAGCTGGTCCATAGAAACTCAGGAGGGGTGGGGGCTGGCAACAGCAAAGCCACTCCTTAAACCTCATGTATTTGCATTGCTATAGGCCAGAATTGGCAGGGCACATGCCAGCAACAAATACTAAACCATCAGGCATCTTGCCCTGACAAATAAATACCTACAGATAAATCACCATTGCAGCCAGGATAGTGACCCAAAGACATCTGGAACCCGGTTCGTTGCAATGGCAAGAGAATTAAGGTTATTGTTGTTAGTTCATTTAAGGCGACCTTGTGCTCTGCTGGGTTCTTCTGTCCCGTCCCCCCACATGCACACGCGGCCCTTTGCTCTCAACGCAACTGACAGCCTCTGCAAACGGGCGAGGCACCGCAAACCCGCCACGATAACCAGATGGCTTTACTAGCGGAGAAGGGAAGAGACTGAACGCTGGAAGTGGGGGCGGGAAGAGGGAGTCGGAGGGTTCGCTCCTTTAAGGATCCACGGGATTTCCAACGTGGAGAAAGGGAAGCGCGGTTGTGTCGCAAAGGTGCGGCGCCCAAGAGGAAGGGGGGGGTTAAACCGCAGGAGCATCCGAGGTTTTGAAAAAGGGCCAAATCAGAACAGGTTTCTTTTTTACTCCTGTGGATTCTGAGATGACACACACACACACCCCGCCACCACAGCCATCAGTGGGTCTCTTTGGAAGGGCCACCGCCCACTCCTCCTTCCTTCCATCTCCGCCGCGACGAGGCTGCGGACTTCCCGCAACAATAGGGCCCCCTCCCCTCCCGTCGTTTTCCTTGCCATCCGCTTTTTTTCTGGTACCTTGGCTCCGATCTGGTTCCCGCACTGGCCGGCTTGGATGTGGACGATCTCACGCATAGCTGCGGCTACGACTTCCCGCTGGGCTCCCTCCTACTCACTAACTCGCCGTCGGCAAAGCAACCGACTCCTCTCTCACCAGCAACTGGGAACAGGCGCGCCTCTCCCTCCGGGACGTGCTTTTTAAGAGCGAGGAGCGACTCGCCGTCGGCAAAGCAACCGACTACTCCTCCTCTCTCACCAGCAACTGGGAACAGGCGCGCCTCTCCCTCCGGGACGTGCTTTTTAAGAGCGAGGAGCACTAGGCTCCGCCTCCTTTTCCCCATTCACACAAACGAGGACGCCCGGCCGGAGCAGGGGCGGGGCTTAAGGGGCGCCGCGAGCTCATCGTCTCCGGCCCGAGAAGGGGGGGGGGAAAGAAAAACAAAAACGGGTCGTCTTGCTTTTCTTCCCGCGCTGAGGAAAAAGTGGGCGTGGGATATGAGTGATTCCATCCATGAGGAAGGTCATTAATTAGGGACAGGCCTTGGTTACAACCTAGGGTTCAATTTTTAAAAAGCAGAAGTAGTCATGTTGTGGTGCTAAGGACTCGTAAAATTCATATTGTGGAAACATCTTTCATTAGGCCAACCACGGAAAGGACAGCTTTGGGACTTCTTACAGCTTTTCATCAGGCAAGATGTTGCAACAACAACAACAACAATAACATAGGATGGCGGAGGAAGGAGAGAGTTGACCTTGAAACCATGGGGTCTAGAATTTTTCAGTATTGAATGTGGGCCCTCACATTGGCTCTTCATATTCCAGAGGAGACTCCTTTTGGGTTCCCAAGCAACAGAGACCATTTTGATGCCCCAGAGGCCTCCCCCACCCTTACAACCCATAATGGAAAGCAGGAATAATAGCCAGCCAAGTGTGATACCCTGTTTCCCTGAAAATAAGCCCTAGTATCATTTTTCAGGATGCTGGTAATATAAGCCCTACCCCAAAAAAAGCCCCAGTTAAGTGAAACCCCACCCTCCATTATTCTGCAGCAACCAGAATAAGATGACGTGACTATTTGAATAAATGTAGATGGTTGTGCATGGGGATGACGTGAATATTTGAATAAATGTAGATGGTTGTACATGAAAAAAAAAACATCCCCTGAAAAAAAGCCCTAATGTGTTTATGAAGCAAAAATTAATATAAGGCCCTGTCTTATTTTTGGGGAAACACGGTAGTAGCAGATGCAGGAACTCTTGTCAACTCTGCAATCAAAAAACCTGATTTCAATATGCCTTAGGTCTTGTCTTCCTAAATGTTCTTCCCTTTCTTCCCCACAGCTGTGTCTCCACACTTGCCTCCATGGCTCATATTGTGGAATGTGGAATTCTTGGGAACTGCCTGACCTCCCTTCAAGGTTAAAAGAACACTGGTGCTGAGTACAGGCCTTGGGCAATCCATAAACTCTTATGGATTACACTTTCAAATTCGCAATATTATTCTGCAGTTGGCACTCCTGCCTCTTCACACAGATCTAATTCAAAAAGGAAAAATTAAAAAAAAGAGTAGAAAAAGGAATAAACAATGGGAGTATTATATCAGCCCATTTTACCGATGGATATGATAGCTAGAAGATCCTGGAAAGAAAGGAACATCTCCATGCTCTGAACACAACGATGCTCTTGCCTCCATTCCTCCCCTATTCCTGTCTTGATTCCATGATCCAGGTTGCTGTACTGTGCATGTGTTCTGTGAAATGCTAATTATTAGGAAGGAGAAACAGAGGTGGCAGCAGGTGCTTGTTTTGCCAGTGGCGTTCCTGCTCCCGCATACTGGCCTCCTGGTGCAGCAGAAAGCCATTATTTTTCATTGCTTTGTTTACTGGTTTTTGCTCTGTCCATCTTGTTTACTTTTATTAATTTAAAATATTTTCCCCACCTTCTTCCTAACAAAGGACCCAAGGCAACTTACAGTTCCTCTTCATTTGGGCCTATACTTTCTTTTCGGCTTTACTTTTTATTTTATTTTCCTTTTCCCCTTAGTTTTTAATTTCCTTCTCTGGTTTTCTTTTCTTATTGACCTCCTCTTTTCTTGTCCTTGTTCTTTCCCCCCATTTTTTCTGGTTTTCCTTCTTTCCGCATGCCCTTCCATTGTCCTTCACATGCCCAATAGTTACATTTTCTTGGTTCCAAAGCAGCCCTAGCAGTACATGCTCATTAGTTAATGGGAGTGCATCAACGCAGAAGACAGGCAGGAGCAGGATTTGCAGATCAATCCATGTAGATCCATTCATTCCCACTGAATTCAGTAGGATTTGTCACCATCCCAGCATGCATCAGAATATTTAATAAAGGATGATTGCTGAACACAGGGACTAGACTAAACCTGTGAATAATCTAGTCAAAATATTTGGCTTATCTAACACATGTAACCAGCTGCAGTGGCTACCTGTGTATTTCTGACCCACATTCAAAGTATTGATTTTGATCCTGTGCTTATTCAGTTTTGTTTCGTGCTGTCAAGTCAGACCCAACTTACAGCAACCCAGTTTGGGCTAGAAAGATACGTAAGATATTTAAGGAGTGTTTTTTACCAGTTCCAACCCCTCTCTTTTCCATGGCTGAGTGGGGATGCAAATTCAGGTGCCCTGGTTCCTAATCCATCACTCTATTTTCTATACCACACGGGGTCCAAATTTGGACTAGACCATCTTTGTCCTATACCAGGAGCAAGGTTAGCCACAGCCTGTCTATAGTAAACGCTGGTGAAAGTTATAGATTAAAACATCTGGACTGTCAAGTTCCCTGTTGCTACCCTGTATGAATTTACTGCCATGCATATGTCTTCAGTAGAAGGCCAGTTTCCTCAGAGAGGTCCCGTTCACAGATATTGGCCTTGACAGGCCCCTTTTATTCTTGCATGATAAACTTTAGGGATCAGAGTCTGGTGAATTCTATGAGTCAAGGAAATGCTGGCTATCACTTTCAAACATGAATAAATTGAAATGAAGGACTTTCAGAGCTCTTGCAGAAAATAGCTTTCTTTACCAAAATGGGGGAAAACCCTCTAATTTGTTAAAACATAAGAGGGGGCATCCCCATCTGAAAAGGTCTTTCAAATCTTTGCCTTCATATATTTCCTTATTTGACATTCAGTGAGATATACCTCCTGTATTTTAATTGAATGCAAAATGATATTATGCTGTTGTCTCCGCACACAATCAGACAGAAGCTACTGAAATCATACGGGGTCACAGGAAAATACCTACTCATTAATGGCTAGTATCTTTCAGGCCAATCCACTTGCTCTATAGGTTGCAGACTTCAAATCTGACATAGCACACCAGACCCACAAATGTGACACATTTTTTATCCTTGGTTAGAACTTGTGACACAAATATTCTGTTTTCTAAAGAAATATATTATTCGATTCCCTTCCAATACAGAACATGTTAATTGCCAGGATCCTTTTGGTAAATGCACAATTTGCTGTGGCTAAGTGATTAAGTGCTAGTACATGTGTGTTGTGCGCCAAGCTGTACAACCAATATGTTTCAGCCCCTCACAAATTAGTTGCGGTTAGCTGCAGCAAGATATGCAGACCTTACACAACTACCACTAGGATGCCAGCCATTACTGGAGATTTCGGCTAGATATTGAATCTAGATGCATAGAATCCCCAGCCTTTCCCCTAGCACAGCATAGGTATATGATAAAATCTTGCACCTTCTCCTCCAACCCTTTTTCCTAGCTGACTCTACAACAGGAAGACTGTATGATAGCAAATAATTTGCTGTGCTGAAGAAGACCTGGATGTTAAGCTCCCTTGCTTAAAATGGACAGTGTGTGTATATCACGCCAGCAAAATACACCCCTCGGCAACTGCAGGATTTCAAAATGTACGCAGCAGTTTGATAACAAGCCTTGGGCTTACCACTGCCAAGTACAATCCTCTACTTTCCCATGATAAAGTCTAGAGAAAGCAGGCCAGGTCTTGTCTTGCGATTACACTTTTCATCCCCCTAAAATTATTGGTTTTAGGCTGAGGACGTGGCTGTTTAATTTGAAGGCAAGTTTACACTGATTAACTCATTAAAAGATGTGTGTGTGTGTATGTATTGTGTGTATATGTGTGTGTATAACAGCAGGTTTGATCTGTGCTTTTCACTGGCAGTCTTTTATTGTCCTATAGCTTCCCCTAAAAGATAAAGATCCACCACTTCCTGTTTTCTCTCACACATATAGCATCTTTTCTAACCTTCAAGCTGTTAACATCTTCCTTGAGAGTGGGCTCTGCTCCCCCAAGCTATGTGTTCTGCCTCTGAACACATCTGATACATAGTATGGATAGGCTTTCCAGTCAAATATATATTCTAAGTAAACTTAGTAACCTTTTTTATTTTAAGCTCAGACTTCTGCCTTTTTGATCAGTCCAGTGAACAGGATAGAATAACAAGATGAATTGAAAGGCTCACAGAGAGCACCACTGTTATCTGCTAACTGTTGTTTAATCTGCTAATAAAAGAAATAGCCTAAGAGAGCTCTCCCAAAATATACAACAGCAGCCACAACTTTTTCTATACCCAAATTGCTATTTGAGAGGATGCTGGGAGCACAGCTCACCCTTAGAGTGGGCACAATGTGGCCCTTCTTATGTTGTTAGGCAATGAATATCATCAACCCTAACAGACTTAACTTGTCATGAGGAATGCCGGGAGCATCTCAGGAGTAGCATGTTGCCAAACTCTGCTTTATCAGCACATATATAAACAAATTCTATGCCCTATTTAAAACATGCTTTTCAAAAGACACACTTCTTAGCTAGATGGATAGCTTGAGATGATTAACAGCAATAAGAATGCAGAACCACAGCATTTTGTTGCAAATATATTAAGGTGCTACCACCATAAGGGGAACTTAATATTCATTTCAGAAAATATATTGCGGCAAAAATAGACAATTAATTGCTACTTAAACAAAAACATTTTTGATAATTATTCTTGTTTATTTGTGAAAGGTATATAACACAGACCTTTATTTGGAAGGAAAATGTTTATGCACATTTTATTGGCTGACTTAAGGGGGATTGCATTTCACATGTCAAAGTCACCTACAGTAAATCAACTAAAATACTTTTGGGCCATATTCTGAGAGAGAGAAACGACTCTGGACACGATTGTGAAACACAAATGCCTTTTATGTTTGAGACCAGACATTTAAACAGAAGACTTTTTCAGAAGTTGTTTGCAACTACTGTTACATAAAGAGTGAAGTTACAAAACTGCTGACAGAGGCAACAGTGAAAAGCACCAAGTATAATTGAAAAAGCATGCATGAGTACAGCTGAACAGACCTCACCCCAGACCCCGGCCTCACTGTCTTCCACCAGCTCCAAGCCTAAGCCTCATCCTCCTCGCCTTCCTCTTCAAACTCCCCTTGCTCATCCGCAGTGGCGTCCTGATACTGCTGGTATTCGGAGACCAGGTCATTCATGTTGCTCTCTGCTTCCGTGAACTCCATCTCATCCATGCCCTCGCCGGTGTACCAGTGCAAGAAGGCTTTGCGTCGGAACATGGCTGTGAACTGCTCGGAGATTCTCTTGAACAGCTCCTGGATGGCCGTGCTGTTGCCGATGAAGGTGGCAGACATTTTGAGGCCTCTCGGGGGAATGTCGCAGACGGCCGTCTTCACGTTATTGGGGATCCATTCCACAAAGTAGCTGCTGTTCTTATTCTGGACGTTCAGCATCTGCTCATCCACTTCCTTCATAGACATCCTCCCCCGGAAGATGGCCGCCACCGTCAGATAGCGCCCGTGGCGGGGGTCGCAGGCTGCCATCATGTTTTTGGAATCAAACATCTGCTGGGTGAGCTCTGGCACCGTCAGGGCCCGGTACTGCTGGCTGCCGCGGCTGGTGAGGGGAGCGAAGCCGGGCATGAAGAAATGCAGGCGGGGGAAGGGCACCATGTTAACGGCCAGCTTGCGAAGGTCGGCATTCAGTTGTCCAGGGAACCGGAGGCAGGTGGTCACTCCGCTCATGGTGGCCGAGACCAAGTGGTTGAGGTCCCCGTAGGTCGGGGTTGTGAGTTTCAGGGTACGGAAGCAGATGTCATAGAGCGCTTCATTGTCAATACAGTAGGTTTCATCAGTGTTCTCCACCAGCTGGTGAACAGAGAGGGTGGCGTTGTAGGGCTCCACCACTGTGTCTGACACCTTGGGGGAAGGCATGACGCTGAAGGTGTTCATGATCCTGTCGGGATACTCCTCTCTAATCTTGCTGATAAGGAGCGTGCCCATCCCGGATCCTGTGCCACCACCCAGGGAATGGGTGAGCTGGAAACCCTGCAAACAGTCACAGCTCTCCGACTCCTTCCTGACCACATCCAGCACAGAGTCCACCAGCTCAGCTCCCTCTGTGTAATGCCCCTTGGCCCAGTTGTTCCCAGCACCACTCTGGCCTAATGGAAGCAGAAGAAGAAGGTTGAATCATGAATAATTGTAGTAGCCAACATAATGAAGCCTACTCCAAGTGGTAGACTAGTGTAGTGAAAATGCTAATAGCCTGTTATCCAGTATGTTCTCTGTGGAAATTTATATGCCAGGTTGACTTTGTCTTGAGGGCCTTTTAATGGAAACCATTTTGCAGTAGTTTCTTGGAAATGAAAATGGTACTAACTGCTATGTTCTCCAAATATTTATTTGAATATCAAGGCAGTACTGCATATAAATATAGCACTATTTATGATACCTGTGAGACTGTGTTCAGACTGTGCATGTGTGCGGGAATTATAATTAATCTAGCACTGAGATAAGTATGAGGAACCTGTCCTACAACCTGCAGATCAAATGCCATTTCCAAGAGACTGTGCATGTTATCAAGGAATCAGCCCATGCCTGTTGTAAAGAAGAAAAGCTTAGATTCCCTCTTAAAAGTTTTATCTGCAACCAATCAGTGCCCAAAATTATGACTGAAAAGTCTTTGTCTGACAGCTGAAGAACAGTTGGGAGGCAACTAACCTCACCTCCTGTGGAAGGGAATTCCAGAGTCTAAAAGCAGCTCTCCTTTGCCTAAGGATGTGTCGAACATTCAGGCAAATGCTAGAATTCCCATTGAGACCTTGCAGTTCAACATGAAAAGGTCAGAATAGAGTGCTGGATGGCAGGCACTGGGATACAAGAAACAGAAGGCGATATCTAAGAGGAGTTACAAAAGGTGGGACAGATTCAGTGAGAAGAGTGCAGCAGTGTCTGTGATGACTGATAGTGACTGAGTATCTGAATTAAATTAATAATATAAATGTACAACCTGAGTTAAAACAAAACCCACACTCAAGTCTCCTATCTGTGGTTCCCAGGCTTGGCAACCAAAATGTTCTTGGACTACAACTCTCAGATGTCTTGACATCTGTTTTCCATGATTTCAAGAAAATAATGAACAGTGGTTCTGAGAGTTTTTCAGCCAATTCCTTCAGTATTCTCTGGTGCAGTTCATCTGGCCCTAGAGATTTGAACTCGTTCAAGGTGGTAAGGTATTCCTTGACAATTTGTTCCTCAATCTCCAGCTGCAATCCTATCCCCCCCACTTGCACTTCCAATTTGTTTGGAAGTTCATATTCTGTCTTATGGGGAAAAACTGAGCTAAAATAGAAATTGAGCGCCTCTGCCTTTTCTTTGTCATCTATTATCATTTTTCCATCTTCATTGAGTAGCTGTAATACTATTTCTTTTCTTTGTCTTTTGCTTCACACATACTTGAAGAATTATTTTTAATGCTTTTAGTGTCTCTAGCTAACCTCAGTTCATTCTCAGCTTCTGCTCTCCTAATGCCATCCCTGCATTTCCTTATTACTTGTCTGTACTCTTCCTTGGTGACCTGGCCTTTTTTCCACCTCCTATACATGTCCTTTTTGTTTGATTGTTTTCAGGTCCTCCCTGAGCTTTTTATGAAGCCACACTGGCCCTTTTTGCTGCCTCCCACTTTTTGTTTTTTGGGTTGGAATTGTTTGCAGTTATGCTTTTAGAATTTATTTTTTAAGAAACTTCCACCCTTCTTGGATTCCTTTTCTTATTAGGATCTCCTGCCATGGGACCTTACTCATCCGTGTTCTGAGATTATGAAAACTGGCTTTTTGAAAAACCAGCATTTGTGGGTGGCTGCACTCTGTTTTGGTTTCCTTTGGAATCAAGAATTCTAGTAGAACATGATGACTCTCACCCAGAGTTGCCCTAACTGCCACTTCCTCCATCAAGTCATTTCTATTGGTTAGAATCAAGTCAAGGATAGCTAGTCCTCTAGTTTTTTTCTCCAGCATTTGTAGTAGAAAATTATCATCCACACAAGCCAGGAATTTCTTGGAAGGACCATACTTTGCAGAATTTGCCTCCCAACAGATATCTGGATAACTGAAATCTCCCATCACTACTACATTGTGTTTCTTTGACATCCTTGCAATTTGTTTTTCAAACGTTTCATTGGCTTCCTCTCCTTGATTGGGTGGCCAGTAGCAGACTTCAACTAACATGGTCCTTTGTTTTTTTGCTTCAACTAGATTGATCCAGATGCTCTCTAAGGGACAGCCAATCTCCTCCTCCTGTATTTCTGTGCAGGAATGCATATTTTTTATATATATTGCAACTCCACCTCCCTTTCTATTCTCTGTTCTTTTGAACAATTTATATCCTTTAATTGCTGTATTCCAATCATGGGAGTCATCCCACCAAGTTTCAGTTATTCCTATTAAGTCATATTTGCCTTCCTGAACTAAAATGTCCAGTTCTTCTTGTTTGTTTCCCATACTCCTGGTATTTGTATATAGACACCGGAGATTTTGTGGTTTGTGGCCTGATTGTCTTTGTACATTATAATGAATATTACTATTATTGACCCCCATCTGAACAGTTTGGTCTGTTCCTCATATTGTGAGTACGGCTTCATCTATCTTTAACTCTGTGCTTGTGTCTCTCTCCCTCTTCCAGTTCAGCTTAAAGCCCTCCCAAATAGGCATATGTGTTCAATCTTGGCTTGAAAACTTATATCCAAAGTGCATTGTGTTAATCAGAAAGCGCTGGCTTTTAAAATATCAATAGGTAAAACAAACCTCTCTTTTTCCACTACCTTGAAACAGAAGCCGTGTCAGTTGAGTTAATCAGTTGATTCAAGTAACCATACCTATTATTTAAAGTAATTTCATGATCCTAATTAAAACTACATTGCATGTCAAAATGAGTAATTTAAACTTTTATGCACTAAGACACCGATGACATTGGTGGACTAATGTCCCTCAAAATTAGTCACCAAGCTGTTTAGCCTACAGGATTTGACCAACTTTGCAAGAATATGACTTCAGGTTTCTGTTCGTTACAGCAAATGTTATACCAACTATATCCCAGTGGGCGTTACCCTGTGAAGCTCTCCTCCGTTGCCCAGCTACCACTGATCAGTTCATTAAGCATTTCAGCCTTGCTTAGACAACCCATTTCAGGGTACCCCTGTGGCCATCCTGAAACACGTACCAAAGACGAAGTTGTCAGGTCTAAAGATCTGACCAAAAGGTCCAGACCTGACCGAGTCCATCGTTCCAGGCTCCAAATCGACAAGGATTGCACGAGGAACATACTTGTTACCTGCAGGAGAGAGAGACAGAAAAGCTGGCATCACAGACCTGCTGTCAGCAGATTTTGCTCAGCACAAAGCAGCTCCCTACACTCTTGGCAACCTCATTACTATTCACTGGAGAGACACAGCAACTCTCCAGACAGATAAAAGGGGGGAGGTGCAGATTTAAAGGGAACAGCATGGTAAAAACAAGGGCCTGAATTTTAAGCAGGCATTAAAAAAGCTTTGCCAAGGGTTTAAAGCAGCCTTTAAAGGGTCTGCCTTGTCAGGGTTTGTCACGTTATGCTCTCAGTACAAAGAGTGTAATTTCTCTAAGTGTAAGATTTTGCAGAACATAGATTATCTGCTTTTTGTTGTTGTTATAGTGGTGCTTGTAGGTTACCAGTTGCTTCATTGTAGTAGACGTTGATTCTCTCCAGTTGCAGGTCACTGTCTCCATGGTAGCTGCCGGTGGGGTCAATGCCGTGCTCATCGCTGATGACTTCCCAGAACTGGAACGGGAATTTTGAGGGCTATTAGCAACTGCCTCCCAAATACCAAACAGGCTGAGCCATCACATGCCACTGCCATCATGCCTCGCCTTAATTCTCCTGTCAGGGCCACACTGGCTTCCCAACAAAAAGTGTCTGTTTGAAGTAGACAGACCCACCCACCTACTCCTCTCCAGCTCTATTGAAGCAGGCAGCAATTCAAGGCACAATACAGCACAGTTCAGACAGAAGTATGCAGCCATCCAGAAATGGCTATTCCTTAAAATCCCAATTTACAGTAATAAATCAATTTTTCCCCCAGCACTTGCATAGAAAGGAAAATGGGGGGATACCTATGAGAAATGCTCATGATTCCCCCATCTTTTTTTTTTTTTTGATAAATTTCCAGTAGAGCAGCCATGTTTGTCTGTTGCAGCAAAACCAACAAAGAGTCTTGTGGCACCTTAAAAACTAATTAAGCTTTATTTAGTTTATGCTGTTGTCAACATCAGCCCCCATTATTTGCGACCATTTCAGATTCTGTGTATCTGCTGACTTGGGCTGTACCCCTTGTAAGCTCATGGTAAAGAAACCTTGGTAGCCTTTAACGTGCCACTAAATTCTTTGTTCTCTTTCCGTAATGTCGGGCTCAGATAAGGGATGAATCTGCACCCCCATGTTTTATACCTTAAGATATCAGACTCAATTCCCCCACTTCCTTTTATCCAGTTTTAATTATGACAATTAAAACGATCATAGAGTCCTTTGTGCAGGCTTGCAGGGCGGGGATTTTTAAAAAAGAGGGTACAGTGGTTTCTCACACAACACAATGTCTCTCCCCTTTATATCCCAAATTAAGGGAAAAGGAAGAGCTATTGCCTCCTGATTCCCTATCTGCAGGTGCAACATTGGACTAGAATTTCTCTCTCACTCCCACAGCTATAAAATGAATTCTGAGAAATCCACCTTTGTTCCCATCTAACCAAGGGCAGAATCAACTTGACAGCACACAATTATTATTACCCAAGGGCAGATTACCTTGAGAGTACCAAGAAAACACCCATATTGGTGCAATGTTTCCCAGGCAAGCTTTCCACTCTTTTTAGATAGGGGTGTGGGGAGATTGATTTGCTTCCCCCCCCCAATCAAGAAAAATGGCTCTGTCATGTGTCTGGCTTTCTAAAGCACAGGTCCATTTGAAAGCCCAGATTTGCCTGCAGTGTAACACAGTTGCCCCTTTGGATCGCACCACCCCAGGTAGATGACCAGATTACTTGTAGGGGCAAAACAGCGCTGGGCATTTTTAAGCAAGTGTAACATCTCTGCTTCTCTGTTCTATGCCACACACCTGCCTAGGACTGCGACCATCGAGGCGACTTTAGAGAGAGGCACCTGTAAAGGTCTCCGAGAGGAAAGCCGTCTCCTGCACCTTGATGTGAAAGGTAAAAAGCCCATGGAGGAGACTCGTAGTACCCAGTTAGCCGGAAGGCTATTAACGCCCTGAGTTTACTAGTAGGCACTAGTGATGGGTGTGTGAATGAGGGTGTGGCCGAGTTACCCTTATTTTGTCGAAGGAAAAAAAAAAAAACCTCCGATTATGCCTCTTTGCACAAGGATCCCGATGCCCAAAAAAGAACATGATTCACAATATACAGCAGCGACGATACAAAAGGCAACGTTGACCCCCTTCTGCACGCCTTTCAAGGTCCCATTTCTGCCACATTTGTTCCTATATATTCATAGGAAAAGATCTCCAACACAATACTGTACATGCTCTTTATGAACCGAGGAGACGTTTAAAAATAAAATTTTAAAAAGCCCCTAGAGATCGAAAAAAACACTGGGCAGCTGCGTAGCTTTCCCGCATTCGTTCTTTCCCTAAGGGTAAAAAAAAAAACAAAAAACACCGACCCAACAGACAAAAGAGGCCACTTCAGTGACACACCCACACCGTGGCACTTCCAACAACAGAGGGACCCCCCCCCTCCGCGCGCCTTTGCCCCACTCCACCAGATACCTTCGCTCCGATCTGGTTCCCGCATTGGCCCGCCTGGATGTGTACGATCTCACGCATGGCGAGGGCTTCACTTCGGGCTCACACCCACTCACTAGCCGGTTCTGCCTCCTGGCTGACGCCCCGTCCCCGCGAGCACCGCTATCTGGCAATAGAGAGCGCTCCCACCCGGGCTTTTGCTTTTATACGGGCAGGGTTCGGGCCCCGCCCTTTTTGCAGCCGAAACCCCGCCCCTTCCATCCCCCTCCGGCCTCCGCGCTTCGGGTGATGTAATGCGGACGGAGAAGTGGGCTGGGTCTCAGGGCCATTCCTTCCCCCCCACCACCCCAAATGCACCCACGCACTAAAAAGAGCACCGACCAGCAGAAGAGCTGCATGAATTTGAGGGGGGGGGGGGGGGG